CCAGCGCCGGGGGGGTCTGGGGGGTCCAGGCAGGATTTGCTCCCAGCTCTGCTGCAGCCGCGGCTTGTGTTGGAATTGGAGCCCCCCCGCATCCTGCCCCGGGGCTGGGGCAGCTCGGAGCCCCCCAGGACCCCAGACCCACGCGGGGACAGTGAAATGCTGCTCGCCCTCCCGAGCCGAGGATTTCCCAGCCAAAACCCCAAATTTTAGCAGATGTTCATCTCCCCAAACCCCAAAATTCACTGGGTGTTCATCTCCAGAGCCCCAAACTTCACCGGGTGTTTGCCTCCCAAAATCCCAAATTTCACTGGATATTTGTCTCCCAAAACTTCACTGGGTGTTCATCTCCCCAAACCCCAAAATTTCACTGGATATTTGTCTCCCAAAACTTCACTGGGTGTTCATCTCCCCAAACCCCAAAATTCACTGGGTGTTCATCTCCAGAGCCCCAAACTTCACCGGGTGTTTGCCTCCCAAAATCCCAAATTTCACTGGATATTTGTCCCCCAAAACTTCACTGGGTGTTCATTTCCCAAAACCCCAAAATTTCACAGGATGTTCATCTCCCAAAACCCCAAAACTTCGCAGGGTATTCATCTCCCAAAACTTCACTGGGTGTTCATCTCCCAAAACCCCAAACTTTACCGGACATTCGTCTCCCAAAACCCCAAATTTCACAAGGTGTTCATCACCCAAAACTCCAAAACTTCACTGGGTGTCAATCTCCCAAAACCCCAAACTTCACTGGATATTTGTCTCCCAAAACCCCAAATTTCACAAGGTGTTAATCTCCCAGAATCCCAAATTTTACCAGATGTTTATCTCCCAAACCCCCAAAACTTCACTGGATATTTGTCTCCCAAAACCCCAAATTTCACCAGGTGCTCATCTCCCAGAACCCCAAAACTTCACTGGATTATTATCCCAGAATAAAAAAAAAAAAAAATTATTCTCCCAGGATAAAACCCAAACCCCCAAAACTTCACTGGATATTTGTCTCCCAAAACTTCACAGGGTGTTCATCTCCAAAACCCCAAAACTTCACTGGATTATTCTCCCAGAATAAAATTCATTCTTCCAGAATAAAAAATTATTATCCCATGAAATCCTTCAGTATTCCCTCCATCCCTGAACAGGGAATGATTCTCCTGAGAGTCCTGCCCAGGCTGCAGCTTAAACCTGGCTTAAACCCCCTCACCCTGTCCTGAGCTCAGCTTATAAATTAAATTATTCTCCCAGGAATTCCTTCAGGAGCCCTCTGAGCCCTGCCCTGACAGGGAATGATTCTCCCCAGAGCTGCTCCTTCCTCCAGCAAATCCCAGGAAATTCCCTTTGTGCTCCTCCTCTGAGGACCCCCAAGCTCCCAACATAAAAAAGAAAAAATATATATTTTTTAAAAACCCATCAAAAATCTGCAACCTCAAATTCTTCTTTTCATATTTAAAAAAAATATTTAAATATATGAAATATTTAAAATATTCAAACAACCCAAACCCATGGAATCTCCCTCGGCAGCGAGATCAGGGCAGGAAGGATGGACAGGGCAGGGGCGTGGAAAAAAAGCTGAATTTTAGATGTAAAACATCACGGCAGTGGGGGATTTTTTTTCACTTTTTGCATAATTGGTGACCACAGACAATCCCCTGAAATGACCTAAATTTATCCCATCCGGGGGCTTTCCAAGCCTGGTTTGTTTTCTGAAATTCTGGTTTCAGCTTTGCTTTTTTTTTTTCTTTTTTTTTTTTTTCTTTATTTTTCTTTTTTTTTTTTTCTTCATTTTTTTCTTTAATTTTTTTTTCCTTTCTTTCTTTCTCTCCTGATGTCTCCCCCAGCTGAATTCTGGTTCTGAAATGCAGATTTGGGAGCAAAAACGAGAGTTCCCCTGGGGCTGCCTCGCTCCGGTTCCGAGGCTGAGTCAATGAAAATGAGAATTCCTTGGAGATTTCCTGGGGAAAAGGGAACTGAGGCAGCAAACAGCTGCCAAAAGGACAAAGGAAGGCAAAGAATGCTCCCAAAAATCAGGTGAAATGACACGTGGAATCAGCAGGAATTTCCCTCTGGGATCAGGAGGATTTTCCTCATGGGATCAGGAGAAATTTCCTATGGGATCAGGAATTTCCTTATGGGATCAGGAGGATTTTCCTCATGGGATCAGGAATTTCTTCACAGAATCAGGAGGAATTTTCCTACAGGATCAGGAGGATTTTCCTCATGGGATCCGCAGGAATTTCCTTCATGGAATCAGGAGGAATTTGGAGTCCCCCTTCCCAGAGGTGCCCAAGGAATCCCTGGACGTGGCACTGACTGGGGACAATCCCAGGCTGGGCTGGGTGATCCCGGAGGGATTTTCCAGCCCCAGCAATTCCAGGAACACAGAGAAACAACCCCAGGCTGCACCAGCCCCACATCCATCCCTTGGAAAACTCCCACTTTTCCCCTCATCACCGACATTCCAAAACAACAATCCCAATTTTATGATTCAGCCAAGACCAGCTCCTGGAAGCCACCAGGGTTTGGGGTTTTTTTTTTGGGTTTTTTTTGTCATTTTTACTCCCAAGAAATTTCCTTTTTTAACACTGCCCAAGCCAGGAAACCTCCTATCTACGTCCAGCAGTGACCAAAATTTGGTTTTCCTGGAATTTCCCCCCGTTTCCCTCCCCACACCCACAGTTTAGGCTTTTTAGGATGCTGCACTCTTAATTTTTTTTGCATTTCCAGCCCGGCTTGCAGAGGCTCCACTTCTGCCCAGTCATCACTGGAGGGAACAGCAGCTTCTGCAACGCTCCCTTCCCCCTTTTTTTTGGGAAAAAACCACCACCACCCCACAAACACCGGGAACAGCAGCAAACCCTGCAAGGCTGGGACAAAAAAAACAAAAAAAACCCCACCCTGAAACTCTCAATTTCCAAAGAAACAGCCCCAAAAGCAGAAGGCCCAAAAGGTTTGGCTTTGCTGGAGTCAAAAGTTGCTGGTTTTGTCCAAAATGTGGGATTTCTTCTCTTCCCCTGCACCCCGGGGGGAAAGCAGCTCCCTGATCCACAGGGAATTCCTCGAATATTTCCTTCCCCTGGGAGATTTCTCTGTGAGGTGAAAAGGAGATTTTTGGGAGTTGCGATGTCGCCCAGAAAAATTCCCTTTTTTTGGCATTGATGGAATTCTCTGCCCTTTTTCTTTCCCTGCATCGTCCTTGGGCTTCTCAGCGCTGCAAATCCACATTAAAAAAATTCACCATCCGTGCCATAAATGGCAAAAATGAAATGGCATAAATGGGAATAATTAAATGGCATAAATGGAAATAATTAAATGGCATAAATGGCAAAAATTAAATGGCACAAATGGCAAAAATTAAATGGCGTAAATGGAAATAATTAAATGGCATAAATGGCAAAAATTAAATAAAATAAATGGAAATAATTAAATATAATAAATTGCAAAAATTAAATGGCATAAATGGCAATAATTAAATGGCATAAATGGCAAAAATGAAATGGCATAAATGGCAAAAAATAGATAGCATAAATGGCAATAATTAAATGGCATAAATGGCAATAATTAAATGGCACAAATGGCAATAATTAAATGGCACAAATGGCAATAATTAAATGGCATAAACGAAGCCAGGCTGTTGTGGGTGTGACCTCGGTGTTCGCTGTCACCGGGGGCATTTTGAGCCTCCAAACCTCTGATCACAAAAATGATTTTCATTTCTAACAACTCCCCCCAAAAAATATCCTGAGCTGACAGAACAAAGCCTTCGGTTTTATCTTAATTGCATTTATTAATTTTGGGCTGTTTGTTTGTCATTAAGAGATTCTTTGGGTGACAAAACACCAAATTTGATTTTTTTTTTCTGCATTTTTTGGCACCAAATGTGTCAAAATGGCACAGGAGGGAGCGGCTGCAGTGTCACCTGTGTGTGTGGTGGCACATTTTTGTTCCCTAGCCTAAAAATGAGTTTATTTCCAGAGGAATATCCCAGCAGGATCCATCAGGGGTGTCCCCTTTGGGATCCTCCTGGGATTCGGGCCTTGCTCTGGGATTTCTGCAGCTCCCATTGCTCCCTTCCTGACTTTCAATCTGGATTTTATTTGAGGGAATAAAAAAGGAAAAAATAAAAAGAAAAAAGAGGAAAAATAAAAGAAAAAATGGAAAAAATTAATAAAAAAGGGGGGAAAGGAAAAAAGGAAAAAAAGGGAGGAAAGTGAAAGAAAAAGGAAAAAAGGGAATAAAAAAGGGAAAAAGGGGGGAAAAGTGAAAGAAAAGGAAAAAAGGGAATAAAAAAGGAAAAAAAAAAGGGGGGGGGAAAGGGAAGAAAAGAAAAAACAAGGGGGAAAGAAAAAAAAAAGATAAAAGGGGGAAAGGAAAAAAGGGAAAAAGAGGCAAAAAGGAAAAAAAGGGGGAAGTGAAAGAAAAGGAAAAAAAGGGAATGAAAAAAGGGGGGAAAAGGGGGGGAAGGGAAGAAAAGGAAAAACAAGGGGGAAAAGAAAAAAAATAAAAGAAAAAAGGGGGAAAAGGAAAAGAGAGGCAAAAAGGAAAAAAAGGGGGAAAGTGAAAGAAAAGGAAAAAAAGGGAATAAAAAAGGAAAAAATAAAAAGAAAAAAGAGGAAAAATAAAAGAAAAAATGGAAAAAATTAATAAAAAAGGGGGAAAGAAAAAAAAGGGAAAAATTAATTTTAAAAGGGGAAAAATTTAAAAAAAAAAACCAAAAAACTAAAAAATAAATAAAAAAGGGGGGGAAAAAAGGAAAAAAATGGAAAAAAAGTTATAGGGATTGACAGACGCCTGGGAGCGGGGAGATGGAGGGGATGCGGCGGAGTGTGTGTCCCTGTCCCTGTCCCTGTCCCCTGTCCCTGTCCGCGTCCCGTATCCCCCTTTCCCGTGTCCCCTGTCCCTGTCCCGTGTCCCCCTGTCTCCTGTCCCTGTCCCCTGTCCCCCTTTCCCTGTCCCGTGTCCCCCGTCCCTGTCCCCTGTCCCTGTGGGCGGGAGCGCCGCCAGTTCCCGGCGGCCCGCGGCGGAGCCGGAGGTGGCTGCGGCGCCTCGCTCCGCCCGCGCCCCCTCAGCGCCCCCGAGCGTCCCCGCGTGTCCCCGCAGCGTCCCCGCAGCCCCTGCCATCCCCCCATGGAGCTGCTGTGCGTGGAATCCGCGGCCCGCACCCCCCGCGCCGGGCGGGACCCGCATCTGCTGGGGGACCGGCGGGTGCTGCAGAACCTGCTGAGCCTGGAGGAGCGCTACAGCCCCCGCGTGTCCTACTTCCAGTGCGTGCAGCGCGACGTGCAGCCCTACATGCGGAAGATGTTGGCCTTCTGGATGCTGGAGGTACCGGAATGCTGCGGGTTTGCCCCAAAACCCCGCGTGGGGTGCGGGGACAGCCGGGCCCGGCAGCGCTGCGGTGCCGGGGGTGATGCCCGTGGGGGTGGAGGGGGAAACTCGCTCTCAGTTGTGCTAAAGTTGGGATTTCCCCGAATCCAAACCCAAAATCAAGGGATGAGAGATCCCTCCGAAAGCTCCCGGGGCTGGGGCTGCGAGCGGCGCTGGTTCAAAGGGGAATAATAACGCCGCTGTTGACTTCCCGAAATTAAAAATAAATCTGCGGCGTGGAGTTGGGGGCAGGGGGATCTGCTGGGGGGGTCGCACGGAAGAGTCTCAAATAAATGACAATTCCGCAGGGCTGGCTCCTGCCTGTCCCCAGCCGGCGCTTCCAAAGAAATCCAGAATATTTCCATTTCCAAGGGGTTTTTTTTCCCCCTGCTGTCACTCCGTTCCCGCAGTCCCTTCTCGAAGACAAACGCCGCTTTGGGAGCGGCTCCTGTGCAGCCCTGGAGGCAGCGAGGTGGCGGTGGCGATGTCACCAGCTGCGTGTCATTGTCCCCGCGGCCGGGCCGGCCGCTGGCAGCAGGGACAGGGTGGCGTTCGCTGCAGGAGGAGCAGAAACCGCAAGGTTTTTATGGCTCTGTCGAAAGGAGGAAGTGCAGCGTGACAAGTGTTGCGGTGCTGGTGGCAGATAAGAGCAGAGGGCTGAAGTTTGGAGCTGCTGGGCTCTGCTGGTGGCTGAGGGAGGGGACTTTGGGGACTTTGGGGACCCGGTATCGATTTGGGCGCTGCCATTGATTCTCCTCGTGTCCTTGGAGCGCTGCAGGTGGAATTGGCAGCCCTGGATCCTTTTTTCCACCCTCCAGCTGGAGCTGCTCTTTGCACCAGGGCTCCCCAGGGCAGGGGTGGCAGCTGGCAGGAGCCACCCCCAGCAGGGCACAGCAGAAACGGGGCCAAAAGGGGCAAATTCAGATTTATCCTGCGCTCCTTGGAGCTGCAGCCAGCTCCTGCTGCTCCCCACAGGAAGGTGAAGCCTCAGTGACACCACGGGGGCCATGCCTGCAGCTCCTCGTGACAAGTGTGAAGCAGCAGCTGTGCCGAGCTCTGTCCTCTCACCAAAACTTGCTTTTCTCTGGTGTGTGTGTGTGGCCCAGGTGTGCGAGGAGCAGAAGTGTGAGGAGGAGGTGTTCCCGCTGGCCATGAACTACGTGGATCGCTACCTGGCCTCGGTGGCCGTGCAGAAGAACCACCTGCAGCTGCTGGGGGCTGTGTGCATGCTGCTGGCCTCCAAGCTGAGGGAAACCATGCCCCTGACCGTGGAGAAGCTCTGCATCTACACCGACAACTCCATCACCCCCCAGGAGCTGCTGGTAACCCCTGAGCCCCCTCCCTGAGCCTCCTCCCTGAGCCCCCTCCCTGAGCCCCCTCCCTGAGCCCCCTCCCTGTGCCCCTTTCCTCACATCTCCTGACCCCATCCCTCTGCATTCCTCTCCTCCCTGGTGAAGGATTTTCCACCCTCCCCGTGCAGCAGAATTGTCCCCTCCTGGCTGTGCAGGAAGTTTCCTGTGCCACCACTGAGCTGTCACTCTGTGCTGTCACTCTGGGCTGTCACTCCAAGGAATCTTGAGCTTGGACCTTGAACCTTGATCTCCAAAATTCCAAGCTCAGGGTCAGGCAGCTCTGGTGCCCTCCCAGTGCCCAGCTCCTGCCTGGCATCTCCTGACCCCATCCCTCTGCATTCCTCTCCTCCCTGGTGAAGGATTTTCCACCCTCCCCGTGCAGCAGAATTGTCCCCTCCTGGCTGTGCAGGAAGTTTCCTGTGCCACCACTGAGCTGTCACTCTGTGCTGTCACTCTGTGCTGTCACTCCAAGGGATCTTGAGCTTGGACCTTGAACCTTGATCTCCAAAATTCCAAGCTCAGGGTCAGGCAGCTCTGGTGCCCTCCCAGTGCCCAGCTCCTGCCTGGCATCTCCTGATCCCATCCCTGTGCATTCCCCTCTCCCTGGTGAAGGATTTTCCATCCTCCACATGCACCAGGATTGTCCCCTCCTGGCTGTGGAGGAAGTTTCCTGTCCCAGCTCTGGGCTGTCACTCCAGTTTCATCTCCAAGACTCACAGCTCTGGTGCCCTCCCAGTGCCCAGCTCCTGCCTGGCATCTCCTGATCCCATCCCTGTGCATTCCCCTCTCCCTGGTGAAGGATTTTCCACCCTCCCCGTGCTGGGCAGCAGAATTGTCCCTCAGTTGTCCCCTCCTGGCTGTGGATGAAGTTTCCTGTCCCAGCTCTGGGCTGTCACTCCAGGGACATCTCCAAGCTCAGGGTCAGGCAGCTCTGCCTCCCCCCAGCTGCAGAAATTTTGGGAATGTGGGAGATTCACTTCTACAGCAGCAGGAAAAATCGGATTTGAGGTGCAGAGTGGAGCAGCAAAACGGGTGTGGGGGGTTTGTGAGCTGGGGAGGTCGGGGGGTGCTCCAGGCTGGTGGGGGTGAGTGGAATTCCTGCTCTGCCCCTCCGTTCCTCATCCTACATCCAGAAAGTTCCATTCTGAGGCTCTGAAAGGCCAAGTGTTTCTGCTGGTGTCTGATAAAAACTCTGAGATCCAAACCTGCGAGCTCAGCCTCAGCCACGGGGGAGGAAATGGGAGAAAAACCCTTTTTTTGGGGTCACAGGAGGGAAAAAATGGGAGAAAAGCCCTTTTTTGGGGGTCACAGGAGAGAGCAGTGAGAAATGCCCTTTTTTGGGGTCTCAGGAGGAAAAAAATGGGAGAAAAGCCCTTTTTTTGGGGTCACAGGAGGGAAAAAATGGGAGAAAAGCCCTTTTTTGGGGGTCACAGGAGAGAGCAGTGAGAAATGCCCTTTTTTTGGTGCCTCAGGAGGGAAAAAATGGGAGAAAAGCCCTTTTTTGAGGTCACAGGAGGGAGCAGTGAGAAATGCCCTTTTTTGGAGTCTCAGGAGGAAAAAAATGGGAGAAAAGCCCTTTTTTTGGGGTCACAGGAGGGAGGAAATGGGAGAAAAGCCCTTTTTTGGGGCCCCAGGAGGGAGCAGTGACCTCCCCTCGGGGACAGAACATCCCTGGGGACCCCGAGGGCTTCTCAGGGTTACTCATCTCCCCCTTGAGCAGCTCTGGGGATTTTGGGGGGGCTGATCTGAGCCCCGGGTGGGCAGAACCCCCAGAACTGTCAGGTGTGACCCCAGGGCACTGCTGGGAACTGCAGAGCTCTGAGCTGGGGAAAATCCCCTCCAGAACCTGAAGTCATTAGTGGGTGGTGATTGCCTTAATTAGGAGCTGATGAGGGATGGGGATGCCGAGTCCTGTCCCCATCCCTGAGGGACACCACAGCCACTCCCGGTGACCCCTGCAGCACCCAGCTGGGTTTAAATCTGATTTTTTTTGGTGAGGATTTGCTGTTCCCAGCTCAGCCTGGAGCTTCCCCCTCATTCCCAGGTTCATTCCTGATTTTCCCTGCTCCTCCCTCCTGATCCTTCCTGGGATTCTCCTTCCATCCAGGAAGGAGATAGAAAATAAATGGGTTGATTTTTTTTTTTCCCCTTCCCAGCATCCCTGGGTTGCTCTTGGATGCTTCATGACGTCGATATGGATGAAAATTATTTTATTTTGGGGGTCAAAAGAGCTTTTTTTTTTTTGGCTTTTCCAGGCAAACTGGAAAAGCCAAAAACTCTCCTGGTGGGAATGTGAGCGCTCAGCAGGGCTGGGGTTTATTCCTGTTTCTTATCCAAGGGCTGCACAGAGGCAGCAGCAGCCTGAGGGAGGGAAACTGAGGCACTGGGAGATCCCAGGGCATGGAGAGCCCATGGAGAGCCCTCCTCCCTGGGTTTCCATGGATTTTAACCCTTCTTGGGGCACATCCTGCTCCCATAAAGACAGAATACCCAGGGATCTGAAGGATTCTCCCTGGTTTAGGGAGTTCAGTCTGGATTTCCACACCCCAGGGCTGCTCCTTCCCCTCTGTGCTCACTCCTGTTCTAATAAAGAGGGAATGGAGGGAATATCCAGGGATCTGAAGGATTCTCCCTGGCTGAGGGAGTTCAGTCTGGATTGTCCATGGAGAATCCTCCTCCCTGGATTTCCATGGATTTTAACCCTTTTTGGGGCACATCCTTCTCCAGTAAAGAGGGAATATCCAGGGATCTGAAGGATTCTCCCTGGCTGAGGGAGTTCAGTCTGGATTTCCACACCCTGGAGAATCCTCCTCCCTGGATTTCCATGGATTTTAACCCTTTTTGGAGCACATCCTGCTCCAGTAAAGACAGAATACCCAGGGATCTGAAGGATTCTCCCTGGCTGAGGGAGTTCAGTCTGGATTTCCACACCCCAGGGCTGCTCCTTCCCCCTCTGTGCTCATCCCCTGCTCCAGTGAAGAGGGAATGGAGGGAATATCCAGGGATTTGAAGGATTCCCCCTCACTGTGCGACCTGAGGGAGTTAAATCTGGATTTCCACACCCTGGAGAGCCCTCCTCCCTGGATTTCCATGGATTTTAACCCTTTTTGGAGCACATCCTGCTCCCTTACAGACAGAATACCCAGGGATCTGAAGGATTCTCCCTGGCTGAGGGAGTTCAGTCTGGATTTCCACACCCTGGAGAGCCCTCCTCCCTGGATTTCCATGGATTTTAACCCTTTTTGGAGCACATCCTGCTCCCTTACAGACAGAATACCCAGGGATCTGAAGGATTCTCCCTGGCTGAGGGAGTTCAGTCTGGATTTCCACACCCTGGAGAGCCCTCCTCCCTGGATTTCCATGGATTTTAACCCTTTTTGGAGCACATCCTGCTCCCTTACAGACAGAATACCCAGGGATCTGAAGGATTCTCCCTGGCTGAGGGAGTTCAATCTGGATTTCCACACCCCAGGGCTGCTCCTTCCCCCTCTGTGCTCCTCCCCTGCTCCAGTGAAGAGGGAATGGAGGGAATATCCAGGGATCTGAAGGATTCACCCTGGCTGAGGGAGTTCAGTCTGAATTGTCCATGGAGAGTCCTCCTCCCTGGATTTCCATGGATTTTAACCCTTTTTGGGGCACATCCTTCTCCAGTAAAGAGGGAATACCCAGGGATCTGAAGGATTCTCCCTGATTTAGGGAGTTCAGTCTGAATTGTCCGTGGAGAATCCTCCTCCCTGGATTTCCATGGATTTTAACCCTTTTTGGAGCACATCCTGCTCCCTTACAGACAGAATACCCAGGGATCTGAAGGATTCTCCCTGGCTGAGGGAGTTCAGTCTGGATTTCCACACCCCAGGGCTGCTCCTTCCCCTCTCTCCCAGCCCCTGCAGCAGAGGGAGGCTGGGCACAGCGGGGCCAGGGGAGCTTCTTCGGCAGCCTGGGGACAATGGGACATCCTGGTGGCCCGGGGCCATCCCAGCAGGAAGCTGGCTCACATTCCCAGGGCTCTGCTTCCTCCTCCTCCTCCTCCTCCTCCTCCTCCTCGGGCAGGGGTGCTTGGCAGCAGCTCAGCCCTTCAGAAAGGACACAGAAGTTATTCTGGGGGAGAAGGAAATGATGCAAGGAGGGATTTGTCCATTTGGAGGAAGTTGGATTTCCGTCCAGGCCCTTCTCTAACCCACCTTGTTGGTTTTTGGTTTTATTTTTTTTTTAATTTAATTATTTTTTAAAATTTAATTCTTTCTTTTTCTTTCTTTTTTTAAAAAAAATATTTTATTTTCTTTATTTTTTAATTTAATTCTTCTTCTTTCTTTTTTAAAAAAATTATTTTATTTTCTTTATTTTTAAATTTAATTCTTTATTTTTTTAAAATGTATTTTATTTTCTTTATTTTTTAAATTCTTTATTTTTCTTTTTAAAAAAATTATTTTCTTTTCTTTATTTTTTAAATTGAATTCTTTATTTTTCTTTCTTTTTTTATTTTATTTTCTTTATTTTTTAATTTAATTCTTTATTTTTCTTTCTGCTTTTTTTAAATATTTTTTTTAAATTTTTTTATTTAATTCTGGGAGCCAGGAATGCTTCCTGAGGGAAAGTGTCACCTGGGGGATGACAGCTTGGGCCCAGGCTGGGGTTTGGGGCAGGTTGAGCAATTCTGCTCGCTTGAGCAACTCGGGGCGGGTTTGTTGTGCAAGGGGAGGGAGGGAGGGGGGCAAAAACCAGAAAAAAAAAACCAAAAAAAAGGGGAAAATGAAGATCTGAGCTGAGGAAAGAATGGCACTTCCTCAAATCTGTCAGTGCTGGAGCTCCTTGGCAGCGCTGGTGAATCCCGAATTTTGGGGAGAGGGGGAATTGTGCTGGGTGGGGGAGAACCTGAACCTCAGCTGAGCCCCAGCGTCAGCTCCTGGGGACAGCAGGGCCACTGTCCCCAGTTCTGCCATTGTCCCCAGTCCTGCCACTGTCCCCAGTTCTGCCACTGTCCCCTCTCCTGCCATTGTCCACTGTCCTGCCACTGTCCTTCCCCTGTCCTCTGTCCTGCCACTGTCCCCCATCCTGCCGCTGTCCCTTGTCCTGCCATCGTCCCCTGTCCTTCCCCTGTCCCCCGTCCTGCTGCTGTCCCCAGTCCTGCCACTGCCACTGTCCTGCTGCTGTCCCTTGTCCTGCCATCGTCCCCTGTCCTTCCCCTGTCCCCCGTCCTGCTGCTGTCCCCAGTCCTGCCACTGCCACTGTCCTGCTGCTGTCCCTTGTCCTGCCATCGTCCCCTGTCCTTCCCCTGTCCCCCGTCCTGCTGCTGTCCCCAGTCCTGCCACTGCCACTGTCCTGCTGCTGTCCCTTGTCCTGCTGCTGCCCCCTGTCCTGCCATCGTCCCCTGTCCTGCCACTGTCACTGTCCTGCCGCTGTCCCCAGTTCTGCCACTGTCCCTTGTCCTGCTGCTGTCCCCCTTCCTGCCGCTGTCCCTTGTCCTGCCACTGCCACTGTCCTGCCACTGCCACTGTCCTGCCATTGTCCCCAGTTCTGCCACTGTCCCTTGTCCTGCTGCTGTCCCCTGTCCTTCCCCTGTCCCTTGTCCTGCTGCTGTCCCCTGTCCTGCCATCGTCCCCTGTCCTGCCACTGTCACTGTCCTGCCGCTGTCCCCAGTTCTGCCACTGCCACTGTCCTGCCACTGCCACTGTCCTGCCATTGTCCCCAGTTCTGCCACTGTCCCTTGTCCTGCTGCTGTCCCCTGTCCTTCCCCTGTCCCTTGTCCTGCTGCTGTCCCCTGTCCTTCCCCTGTCCCTTGTCCTGCTGCTGTCCCCTGTCCTTCCCCTGTCCCTTGTCCTGCTGCTGTCCCCTGTCCTTCCCCTGCCACTGTCCCCCATCCTGCCGCTGTCCCCTGTCCTTCCCCTGTTCCCCATCCTGCCGCTGTCCCTTGTCCTGCCGCTGTCCCCTGCTCCAGGACAGGAGTGTCCTGGGGACCCTCAGGCCTTCTAGAGCCCCCAGCCCCACGGAGGGAGGGGAAAAGGGGCTGGAAAATCCTCCTGGCTGGGATATGGGAGCTGCAGGGAGGGCTGGGACAGCGTCCTCCGTGCCACCCCCGGGGGTGACAGCAGTGACAGCCCGGCCAGCCCTCCTCGTGTGTGGCCCCCAGTCGGGCTCAGCTGCTGCTCCAGCCTTGCCAGAGCCGGGATTTTGAGGGCAGGGATCCCAAATTTCCAGCTGGGGCTCTCCTTGTGTTCACCTTGGCACCCCCTGAGCCCGGGAGCTGCTGGGGGTGGCTCTGCCAAGGATTGTCCCTGTCCCTGTCCCTGGCAGAGCCAGGAGGGGCTCAGGAGGTTGAAGGGGGCTCCCAAGCTTCCACCATCTGCTGCCAGCCTGGAGAGCCCAGGAATCCCTGCTGGGCACCCCAGAGGGTGTTGGGGTGGCAGATCCGTGCTGGGGATGCTCCCAGCACACCTGGGGGCTTTCTTGGTGGAGAAAAGGGGGAATTTCTGCCAAAAAAAAGCTGAGAACTCCCTGGTGCCCTGGGGTTTGTGGGGCAGTCACAGCCCCCGCAGGCAGCTCTGTCACCTGGGCTGGATTGTCCTGGGAGCCTGGACATCAGCCTGTCCCCTGGGAAGGGATTGGGAATGGTGTCCCTGGGGGCCTTTCCCTCTGTTTTTCCCTCTGTCCCTGTTGTTCCTTGCTCTGCTTTTCCCTCTATCCCTGCTCTACTTTTCCTTCTATCCCTGCTGTGGATTTCCCTCTGTCCCTGCTCTGTTTTTTCCCTCTGTCCCTGCTGTGGATTTTTCTCTGTCCATGCTCTGGTTTTTCCCTCTACCCCTGCTCTGCCTTTCCCTGTGTCCCTGCTGGGCCTGTCCCTCTGTTTTTCCCTCTGTCATTGTTGTTCCCTGCTCTGCCTTTCCCTCTGTCCCTGCTCTGGTTTTTCCCTCTCTGCCTTTCCCTCTGTCCCTGCTCTGCCTTTCCCTCTATCCCTCTCTTTTTCCTTCTGTCCCTGCTGTTCCTTGCTCTGTTTTTCCCCCTGTCCCTGCTCTGGTTTTTCCCTCTATCCCTGCTCTGGTTTTTCCCTCTCTGCCTTTCCCTCTGTCCCTGCTGTGGATTTCCCTCTATCCCTGCTCTGGTTTTTCCCTCTCTGCCTTTCCCTCTGTCCCTGCTCTGGTTTTTCCCTCTCTGTTTTTCCCTCTGTCCCTGCTCTGCCTTTCCCTCTGTCCCTGCTCTGCCTTTCCCTCTGTCCCTGCTCTGGTTTTTCCCTCTGTCCCTGCTCTGCTTTCCCCCCCCGGGCTCTCCCATCCCTTTGCAAATCGAGGAATACCCAGGGCTGATCCCTGCAAAGAAGAATTCACATTTTTCCTTCCTGCTCCCAGCTGTGAGCAGCCCGGAGCTGGAATTGCGCCGCGGGGACAGCGCGGGGACAGCGCGGGGACACCCCCCGTGCCCTGCCCGGCCCTGGGGCACCCCCTAACTGCCGCCCCGGCTCTCCCCCTGCGCAGCGCTGGGAGCTGCTGGTGCTGGAGAAGCTCAAGTGGGACCTGGTGTCGGTGATCGCCAACGATTTCCTGCCGCACATCCTGCACCGGCTGCCGCTGCCCCGGGACAAGGTGGGGCTGGTGAGGAAACACGCGCAGACCTTCGTGGCGCTCTGTGCCACAGGTGGGTGCAGGGCAGGGCCGCTGGCACGGCTGGCACGCCTGGCACGGCTGGCACGCCTGGCATGGCTGGCATGCCTGGCATGGCTGGCACAGCTGGCACGGCTGGCACAGCTGGCACAGCTGGTGTGCCTGGCACGCCTGGCACGGCTGGCACGCCTGGCACACCTGGCATGCCTGGCATGGCTGGCACAGCTGGCACGCCTGGCACGGCTGGCACGGCTGACACAGCGCACGGCTGGCACAGCTGGCACGCCTGGCATACCTGGCACGCCTGGCACAGCTGGCACGCCTGGCATACCTGGCACGGCTGGCATGGCTGGCACGGCTGGCACGGCTGGCACGGCTGGCATGGCTGGCACGGCTGGCACAGCTGGCATGGATGGCACAGCTGGCACACCTGGCATGCCTGGCACGCCTGGCACGGGTCCCCTCTTTTTTGGGAGCTTCCTTGCGAGGCTCGGGGGGCTCGGGGATGCCCGGAGAGCGGGGCTGCGCGGGTGGGACGGTGAGCCCCCAGCGCGGGGAGTCCTGCTGGATCCGGATCCAGCCTTCAGTTATTGATTCAGTCCTGTTCATCAGCATTGCTGTTATTCATTAGTATTGCTGTTATTTATTAGCATTGCTGTTGTTAGCACTACTATTATTTATTAGCATTACTAGTTTTATTAGTATTACTATTGTTAGTATTACTATTTTTATTAGTATTACTAGTATTTATTAGTATTACTATTGTTAGTATTACTATTTTTCTTAGTATTACTATTGTTAGTATTATTAATTATTAGTATTGCTGTTGTTAGTATTACTATTATTTATTAGTGTTACTATTGTTAGTATTACTATTACTTATTAGTATTACTATTGTTAGTATTACTATTAGTAGTATTACTATTATTAGTATTATTAGTAGTATCACTATTATTATTAGTATTATTATTTATTAGTATTGCTATTATTAGTATTACTATTATTTATTCAGTATTACTATTATTTATTAGTATTAGTGTTATTAGTATTACTATTTTTATTAGTATTATTATTATTTATTAGTATTACTATTATTAGTATTGTCTTGTATTAATTAATGGTGTATTTGGTAAAATGGGAGAAAAGACAATACGAACATTGAGCCAAGAAATGTAATTATCAATTCCGTTCTCTTCTGTCTGGTGATCTTAAGAAAGTCCTTAAAGATCAGACAGGAAGAAAATGAAAATTGTTTTCTACAATACCCTGTTTGTTATTTGAAATTGCAGCCCTCTTCCTGGTCCATTAGTTATGAGAGAAAAAAGAGAGGGGTTTACTGGCCAGTAATATTTCATGTTGGAATTTTAAAAATTAAGTTAAATATTAAGAATTTGCTGTTCACAGTTAATGCAACTTTAAAAATTAAGTTAAATATTAAGAATTTGCTGTTCACGGTTAATGCAACTTTAAAAATTAAGTTAAATATTAAGAATTTGCTGTTCACAGTTAATGCAACTTTAAAAATTAAGTTAAATATTAAGAATTTGCTGTTCACCCTTTTAAAGTGTGGCTAATAAATCTAAATCGTGGTTGAACTCTAAAAAGCCCATCACAAGAGGACATTCAGAGTAATCAAAAATGAAGAGATAATTTCATCATGAAGTTATTTGTAGTAAAATACAAATTAGTCTCTACGTGTAGAGGGCTCACTCCCAGCTTTTCTCAGCCTCTCATCCCAAAATTCCTCCTGAAGGCCCGGCCTGCTGCTCAGCCCTTCCATGCTCCTCCAGCCCACGCTGCACAGAGCCCTCTGTGCAGGGCAAACCCCGACCCCGAATCCAAACCCCAAATCCAAACCCCAAATCCAAACCCCGACCCCAAATCCAAACCCCGACCCCGAATCCAAACCCCGACCCTGAATCCAAACCCCGACCCCGAATCCAAACCCTGACCCCGAATCCAAACCCCGACCCCGAATCCAAACCCCAAATCCAAACCCCAAATCCAAACCCCGACCCCAAATCCAAACCCCGACCCCGAATCCAAACCCTGACCCCGAATCCAAACCCCGACCCCAGACTGAGACCCTGACCCAGACCCTGACCCCAAACTTGACCCCAGACCAAGTCCCTGACCCCAAACCCTGACCCAAACCGTGACCCAAACCTGACCCCAGCCCAAAACCCTACCCCAAACCCGACCCCAAAACCATCTGCAAACCCTGACCCAAACCCGACCCTGACCCCAAACGTGATCTCAGACTCCAACCCCAAACCCTGACCCAAACCCCAAAACCCTGACCCCAAACTTCAAAGCCCGACCCTAAACTTCAAACCCCGACTGCAAACCTGACCCCAACCCCAAACCCTGACCCCAAACCCCTCCACAAACCCTGACCCAAACCCGACCGTAAACCCCAGCCCCAAACCAAACCCCGACCCCAAACCCATCCGCAAACCCTGACCCAAACCCAACCCTGACCCAAACCCGACCCTGACCCCAAACCCAATCCCCGACCCCCAAAGCTGACCCCCAACCCCAGACCCCGACCCCGAGCTGCCCCCATCCCCCCCGCGGCCCCGCTAACTGCTGTCCCCCTGCAGACTGCACGTTCGTGATGTACCCCCCGTCCATGATCGCCACCGGCAGCATCGGCGCCGCCATCCACGGGCTGGGCCTGGCCGGGAGCGGCCTGGGCGGCGAGGCCGTCACCGAGCTGCTGGCAGGGACCACGGGCACCGAGGTGGTGAGTGGGCACCGGGGCTGGCACGGCTGCTGGGAGCCTGCTGCTCCTCGGGGACATCGGGGGGACAGCTGCCAGGGCAGGGCGGGGGGCTGTGCTGCTGGAGGTGTTCCAGATCCGGCTGGATGGGTCACCTGTGTCACCTGCTCCTGGTGGCCGTGGTGAGGGGGGGACTGGGAGGGACTGGTCATGGTGAGGGGGAGACTGGAATGGATTTCTCATGGTGAGGGAGACACTGGCCATGGTGATGGAGGGACTGGGATGGACTGGCCATGATGATGGAGACACTGGGATGGACTGGTCATGGTGATGGAGGGACTGGGATGGACTGGCCATGGTGAGGGGGAGACTGGGATGGACTGGCCAGAGGGATGGAGAGGCTGGGATGGACTGGTCATGGTGGTGGAGACACTGGGATGGTCTGGCCATGATGATGGTCAGCCTGGCATGGATTTGCCGTGGTGATGGTCAGCCTGGCATGGATTTGCCATGGTGATGGTCAGCCTGGGATGGATTTCTCATGGTGATGGTCAGCCTGAGATGGATTTGCCATGGTGATGGTCAGCCTGGGATGGTCTGGATGTGGTGATGGTCAGCCTGGGATGGATTGCTCATGGTGATGGTCAGCCTGGGATGGATTTGCCATGGTGATGGTCAGCTTGGGGTGGATTTGCCATGGTGATGGTCAGCCTGGGATGGTCTGGCCATGGTGATGGTCAGCCTGGGATGCAGGGATGGGCTCCAGAGGGCCCTTCCAGCCCCAGCTGCTCTGGGATTCTGGAATTGTGCTGTTCAAACGGTGCTGCCCCGGTCTGAGGAGAACCAAGGGCTGTGGGATGATCCCAGACACAGCCTGGGCAGGGCAGGGTGGGCTCAGAGCCTTTGAAATGCCACACAAAGGGCAGGATCCGTTCCCTGCCCGGGCAGGTGTTGGCAGGATCGGGTTCTCGGGCTGGGCTGGGGACAGGGACACGTCAGGCTCGGCATCTGCTCCCCTCAGGGTCCGGTTGCACGTGGGAAAGGGGGGGGAATGGGACAGGAAACCTTCCAGCTTTGGGGACATCAGGATGGGGGGGTTCTCCAGCCCCTCAGTGCCCTTGGAGCAGGGACAGGGATCCTGGGGGGCTCCAGTCAGGAGCTTTTCCTGTCCCCTTTGATCTCCTCCCTGCCCGGGTCAGTCACAGTCCCCTGCCAGGACCTGGGGCAGGTGGGGGTGGGAGGCTCCTGCTCTGTTTGTGCAGATGGAATTTTTTTGTTCTCCGGGGCCTTTTTGAAGAGAGAATCAGTGCAGCCACCTGCTCCCAACCTGCTCTGGGAGGTCGGGGCTGTGCAGGAACAGGTGGGAAGCAGGGAGGGCTCTGTGGAGCTGAAATGGAGCCCTGCACCCTCCTGTCCCCTCCTGTCCCTCCCCAGCATCTGCTGTGCCCCCTGCCCAGGTGTGGGGTGCCTCACAAACAGCTCCAGCCCTGGCAGGACCACGGCAGCTCCTCCTGGGACGTGAACACAGAATTTTGTGTTCCTGGGAGAGCACCTGGGCTCAGCCTCCCCCACCTGTGGTGCTGCTGCTTCTCCCTGAGCGTGGCCCCAGGCTGTGACTCAGTTTCCCCTCTGGAGGAGCCATTCCTGCAGCTGGGAATGCAGGGATGGTGCTGCAGGGCTGGGCCAGCTCCGTGGAGCCCGGCTGGGCGTGACCAGGCTGGCCTTGGCATCCAGAAGTGCCAGTGGGGAGCTGGGAGGGCCACGGGGATGGAGAGCCTGGGATGGAGTGGCCGTGGTGAGGGAGAGCCTGGGATGGACTGGGTGTGGAGATGGAGAGCCTGGGATGGAGTGGCCACTGGGATGGACTGGTCATGGGGATGGACTGGTGGTGGAGATGGAGAGCCTGGGATGGACTGGTGATGGAGATGGAGAGCCTGGGATGGACTGGGTGTGGAGATGGAGAGCCTGGGATGGACTGGGTGTGGAGATGGTCAGCCCAGGGATGTGCTGGACAGCTGGGGATGGTGATAGAGAGCCCAGGGATGGACTGGCCATGGGGATGGACAGCTGGGGATGGTGACAGTCTGAGGTGACCCCAGAGCCAGGTGCCCCTGGGGATGCACAGCCCCTGCCCAGGTGCCCATGGGGATGCACAGCCCCTGCCCAGGTGCCCCTGGGGATGCACAGCCCCTGCCCAGGTGCCCCTGGTGCTCGGGGCCGGGGCAGGAGGAGGCTGCACTGACGGGAAGCCGGGCAAGGGGAGCTGGGCAAGGGGAGCTGGGCGTTGCTATTTTCGCTCGCCACATCCTCTGTCAGTTTCTAAGAACTGCTGGCGGATTCCTGGTAAGAGATTTCGGGGTGTGACAGTGTCCCGTGAGGTGCAAACTGTCACCAGGCTGGGCTGTGGCCCCGGGGTGTCCGAGTGGGAGTTTCCTCCTGCTTACAGCTCGTGGGGGAAAAACCAGAGCAGGGTTTGCATTTCTGGCAAGTGCTGCTGCTGTTGGCACCTTGCTGTGCGTGTCCCCCAGCTCTGGGTCCCCTGGGGGTGTCACAGAGGGGACAGGAGGGTGAAAACCTTGTGAGGAGCTCGGTAGCCACAGCGTGGTTCTCCCAGCGTGGATGGGAGGTGGTGTAGGGTGGGCTTGAGGTCAGGGAGGGTCCTGCTGCCTCAGAGGCACCCAGCGGAATTCCTGTGCCCAGCTCTGCTGCACAGAGCTCTGGGAAAGCTGGGCTGGAGGGCCTGGGGAGCTGGAGGGGGATCCCTATTCCAAGGACAGCCATATTTTTGGGATCTGAGAAGTTTGGCCTGCTCTTGCCCTGGCTCCAGGACTTTGGGAAGCTCTGCTGGACACAACATTCCTGCAGAACGGGGTCAGCAGGGAGGTGGGGGGAGGACAGCCAGCGTGTGGGGCTCTGCCTGGGGAGGGACAAGCTGATGGAGAGCATCTCCTTTCCCTGCTGCTCAGATGCTGCTCTGAGCTGTTCCTAAAGGAGGAGGAGCAGGATCTGATGGCTCCTGTGTGTTTCCCTGTCCCAGGACTGCCTGAAGGCCTGTCAGGAGCAGATTGAGGCGGCCTTAGCCGAGAGCCTGAAGCAGGCATCCCAATCCCAGCAGGAATTCAGCGCCAAGGCGGCGCCCTACGGGGGCAGCCAACCCACCAGCACCCCCACGGACGTCACCGACATCAACCTGTGACCAACCGCCCTTGCCCAGAGCTCCAGCCCCTCCCTGGACACCCCCAGCTCGCCGCACCCCCCCTGCCCACCCAGCACCTCCGAGGGGTCCCTCCCAGGCCGGGAACGTGGAGCGGGATCCGCGCTCGGAGCTGCTGCAGGTGGCCGGGGTGGGGTGAGCCAAGGTGGTGCCAGGGCACGGGGAGCAGGAGCCTGGATGAAGTTGGAATTGTTTCTGTGTTGGTGTTTCCTGGCTCTTCTGGGCCGCTTCCAGCCCCGTGAGGGACAAAATTCACGGAGAGCCAATCCTTGAAGTTGGAATTGTTTCTGTGTTGGTGTTTCCTGGCTCTTCTGGGCCGCTTCCAGCCCCGTGAGGGACAAAATTCACGGAGAGCCAGCCCTGCAGGACCCGAATCCTCGCCACCCCCAGCTCCTTCCTGCGGGGCCACGGGGCTCGTGGAGCAGCTGCTTGGTGGCCCCTGGGTCCCGACTGCTTCGTGCCACATTCCCACAGCTCCGGGGGGAGTCGTGCAGCTGCTTCTGCTTGGAGAGGACCCGTGGGACTCGTTTGTTTTTGCTGTTGGATGTGGGATTTTGGGGACGCGCTCCCCGTCCGTGCCTTGGGAGGAGTTCAGGGTCCCCTCGGCTGCTTAATTTATTGTTCACTGCTGGGAAAGGGGAGGGAGGAGAGCTGGCATTCCTCGGGGTGGGGCCTGGGTGCCGCTTTCCTCTCCTTCCCAAAAAAAGTGCCTTCCCCCCTCGCCCCTTCCCCGGCTCCCTGGGCAGTGGGAGACTCCCCTGGGAGGCTGCTGGGCCCTTTGGTAGCTTAGGCATCAGACTAGGATTTAAGGAAAACCTTTGAATGTGCTGCTATAGTCTGGGATGCATCTCCACTCTTCCAAGGCAGGGATTTCGGATCACGCTCAGGAGGGGGCTGCGTTCACCCACGTGGATCTGAGCTGCCTCCTGAGGGGGTGGAAAACTTTGCTGCGCACTCGAGTTGGAAAAGCAATTACTGCATTTTTGTATCGTTGTTGTTGATCCTGTTAGTTTTTTATAAAAATTGTTGTAAAACAGAAGGAAAAAAAAAGAAAAAAAAAGGAAAAAAAAAAATAATGCTGCTTTTCTATGAGAAAACCAGATGGAATTAACCAGGAGAAGGCAGAGTCCACAGGGAGGGGAGGCAGACGCTGCTGCTGCTGCTGCCTGGGGCCCTCTGGACATGTGGCTGTTGTCCTCCCGTGGGGGATGTGGAAAAGGAGGTAGAAATCTTCCTTTTGGATGCCACCAGCCCCACAAAAATCCGGCGGAAAAAGGTGGGGCTGCTGCTCCTCCCTGAGCCTGCCTGCTCCGGAAACCCACGGAGCCGCTGCCCCCTGCGAGCAGGAGGGCTGGGACAGAGCCTGCCTGTGCAAAAGGAAATGTGTTTGGTTGTTTTGGTTTTCTTTTTTTTTTTTACATATATATAAATATATATATATATAAAAGTGGATTTTTAATTTAAGAGTAAACTGGTTTGGTGTTCACTTGCACGAGTCCCGCTGCTGGGAGATCCAGAGAACCCTGTGATGTTGCAATAAAATATTTTAAACAAAAAAACAAAAAAAACCCAAAAAAACACCCAGCGGCTCGAGGGTTTCCCTGCGCCTTTCTTGGATCTCTCCCTGGTTCTGGGGATCCCTTGGGAGCTCCAGCCTTGCTTTTCCTAGGATGGAATGGGGAGAGGGCAGGCAGGACCCTGAGGGACACCGGGGGCAGCTCAGGGATGGTGGTGGAGCCAAAACCCTTCCTGCAGGTGAGGTGGCCCTGGAGCAGGGGCAGCAGGCTGGAGCGTGACGGGCACTGGAGCAGCTCAGGTGGTGGCAGGAGAGTGCCAGGCGCTCTGTGCCAGCCCAGGCTCCCTCCTGTGCTCATCAGCCTCTGGCTTCTTTAAGATAAAATCAGGAAGTCACAGAAAAGGCTGGGGGGTGTGGGGACCCAGCTCCTGCCACAGGAGGTGACAGCAGGGGCTCCTCTCCGTGGCCCAGAGCTGCAGGGCACAGACCTGGCAGTGGCAGAGGGTCCCAGGGAAGTGCAGCCTGCTGCAAAAGCCCCCCCGTGGGTTTTCCAGCAGAGGTGGCACTCGGGCACAGTGCCAGGAGCAGCCAGGCAGGTGGCATCATGGCCAGGTGAGGATGGTGGCCCTGTGGCTTCAGGAGTAAACCCCGAGAGGCTTTGTGTGGGAAATCCCTGGGCAAGGAGCTCCAGAAGCTGGTGGGGACAGGGACAGACTGGGAGCACGCAGGGCAGAGCCAGCCCTGACTCACTGACAGCTCTGGTTTTATTTCCAAGTACAGGAACAAGCCAAAGTGTCCCCGTGCTGGTGGCACCGGGCTCCTGGGTGGCAGTGACAGCAGCACAGGGCTCAGTCCAGCTCTGTGGGCACAGCCTGTCCCCAGTGACCTCTCTGAGCAGCAGGATCCAGGAGGGATGCTCTGATCCAGGATCCAGGAAAGATGCTCTAATCCAGGATCCAGGAGGGATGCTCTGATCCAGGATCCAGGAGAGATGCTCTGATCCAGGATCCAGGAAAGATGCTCTAATCCAGGATCCAGGAGGGATGCTCTGATCCAGGATTCAGGAGGGATGCTCTAATCCAGGATCCAGGAGGGATGCTCTGATCCAGATGAGATGCTCTGATCCAGGAGGGATGCTCTGATCCAGGAGGGATGCTCTGATCCAGCTCCCAGCAGCACCCAGCAGCACCCCAGGCTCCAGCCCTTCCCTGCTCACTCCATGGCCACCGGCTGCTCCCCTTCCACGTCCCTCGTCCCGGAGTTCATCAGCTCCCGGCGGATCTCGGGCGAGATCTGGGGGTGGCTGTGGAACTTGAGCAGCTCCAGCAGGGCCTCCTTCTGCTCCGAGGACAGGTCCTCCTTGTAGCGCTGCGCCAGGGCCAGCAGGCTCTGGTGCCACAGCACGGGCAGGAGCCGCTGCTCCGAGCGGAAGGCCAGGAAGTGGAAGACCAGGGCGTCGAGCACGCGGAAGGGCAGCGCGTACTTCTTGTCGATGAGCAGGCGCAGGAAGATGCTGTTGGCACCGCTGTACTGCATCTCGGCCAGCTTCAGCAGCGCCGCGCTGCGGGGACGGGGACAGCCAGGGTAAGGGACAGGGGACAGCCCAGGGTAAGGGACAGGGGACAGGACAGCCCAGGGTAAGGGACAGGGAGAGGTGAGGGACAGCCCAGGGTAAGGGACAGCTCAGGGGACGGGACAGGGGACAGGGACAGCCCAGGGTAAGGGACAGCTCAGGGGACGGGACAGGGGACAGGGACAGCCCAGGGTAAGGGACAGCTCAGGGGACGGGACAGGGGACAGGGACAGCCCAGGGTAAGGGACAGCTCAGGGGACGGGACAGGGGACAGGGACAGCCCAGGGTAAGGGACAGGGGACGGGGACAGCCCAGGGTAAGGGACAGGGAGAGGTCAGGGACAGCTCAGGGTAAGGGACAGGGGACAGGGACAGCTCAGGGTAAGGGACAGGGGACAGGGACGGCTCAGGGTAAGGGACAGGGGAGAGGTCAGGGGATAGGGGGGACAGGTCAAGGGACAGGGACATGGGGACATGGGAGAGGCCAGGGGACAGGGACAGCTCAGGGGACAAGGACATGGCAGAGGGAACAGGAACACAGGAGAGGTGAGGGGACAGGGACATGGGGATATGGGAGAGGTGAGGGGTCAGGGGATGGAATCATGGGGACCAAGGAGGGGCTTAGAGTCAAGGACAGAGTCACAGGGACACAGGAGGGGGTGAGGGGTCAGGGGACAGATGAGGGACCACAGGGGTCAGGGGGGACCAGGCAGAAGCCACAGGGACCAAGGAAGAGGCAGAGCCAAAGCCACGGGGATGGAGGATGGAGCTCAGGGACCACAAGGGCCAGGGGGACTGGAGCCATGGGGACTGAAGAATGGGCATGGAGGGACCAGGCTGGAGCCACAAGGAGCAGGGAGAGACCACAGAGGTCAGGGGGAACTGGACTGGACCCTGGAGCACCCAGGCACAAAGCTGAGCCTTGAATCTCAACCCCAGAGGGAGCTGAGTGACCCCTCACTGATCTGAAGGGATGGAGAGGCTGAGGGGTGGATCCAAGGCACTTCCCAGGGTCCCTGGAGGAGAAGCCCTTCCCCCCCAGCCCCTCAGGGCCTCACCTGGAGTGCAGGACGGGGATGGAGCACTTGGTGAGGATGCTGCCGATGATGATGGCCTCCCTGAGCGTGCAGGTGCCCGACTCACAGAGCGGGATGAGGATCCCTGGGAATGGGGGGAATGGGGACAGTCGGGCACCGACCACCTCCATCCACAGGCAGAACCCTGCGGTTCAGCCCCTTCCCCCTAGAAATCCCCATCCTTGCACCAGCCCCTCAGGTAGCCAGGCAAGCCCCAGAGGAGACCCTGCAGGACCCCTACCCTTGAACCAGGCTGCTGGCTTGAACAGAGCCTTCTTCAGAGCCATGTACAGGTGGAAGTTGAGCCGCTTGTACTCGGCGATGTCGTCCCGGATCCGCGGCAGCAGCACCAGGTTGTAGAACCTCTGGGCCATCCTCTCCTTCAGGTTGGAGGAAAATATCCTGGGATCAGCAAAGCATGAAAGGATGGATGAGGAAAGGAGGCCAAATAGGCAGGTTGGTGTTTTGTAAAACTGACTCTGGTTATGGGAAAAAACACCCCAAAAATCCCATGCCAGAGGATCCCTGAGGTGACCTTACCTGGTGGCCTGGTACATGGCAGCAGCTGTCCACGCCTCTGGCTCAGTGATGTAGAGGATCTGCTCCCAGTTGGACAAGGCAGGAATGATTTTGAACGCCTTGGGGAGCTTCCCACTCCTGTACTTGGACAGCACCTTCAATGACAGGGACACGGGCCAGGCCGTGACTGGGGGAAGTGACAGCAGGGACAAGAGCGCGTTGTCACCTCAGGGTGGTGGCTGCGGGTTTAGCTGCTCTGTCCTCACCTCCCTGACACCCCTGTAGACCTCCAGGACACGGGGGTCAAGCTGGGGCATGGGGCAGCCCGAGAGCTCCGACAGCGCCGTCTCCACCTCCGTCTGCTTCTCCGTGATCTTCTCCATGATGATATCGGCCAGCGTGCGCCTGGGCCGGCAGGGACAGCGTCACAGGGGGACACGGGAGGGCTGGCAGGGGACAGGGGCAGTGGGGGACACGGGAAGGCTGGCAGGGGACAGCGTCAGTGGGGGACACGGGAGGGCTGGCAGGGGACAGGGGCGAGCCAGGGGCTGACAAGGGAGGGGGACGAGCTGGGGTCTGTGCAGGGCCGACACGGGACCAGGGGGAGAATCGGGTCGCAGGGGGATGCCACGATGGGATCACATCGCATGGGATGGGGGTGAGCTGGGGGCTGAGACGGGACAGAGATTGAGTCGGGGGCTGAGACAGGACGAAGGGTGAATCGGGGGTCGCACGGGGCTGACACCGGACCGGGCAGAGCCGGGGCCGTGCAGGGAGGCGGCCCCTGCCCGCTGCACTCACCTCAGCGGCGGGTTCTTGTTCATGAACATCTCGATGGCTTTCTCGTCCTCGGGGTCCACCTCCACCTCCCCGCCGTAGTCCCCGCTCCGTCCCGCGGCCGCCGCCGCCTTCTCCAGCGAGGGCCATTCCTCATCATCCTCCGAGTCCGAGCCGGGACCTGCGGCGAGCGGCGCTGGCTCAGCCCGGGGCCGCGCACCCTCGGGGGTCCCGGGGTTTACCAGGGGTTACCGGGGGCTCACCGAGAACCGCGCTGCGCTGCCGGGGGGCCGCGGGCGCTCCGGGGCCGTGCTCGGCCTCCAGCTCCTCCTGCTGCCGCCGCGCCTGCTCCAGGATGCGCCGGGACAGCCGCGCGTCCACGAAGCCGCCGCCATCCCCGCCCGGCTCCTCCGCCCCGCCGGGGCCCCCGCGCTTCTCCCGCGCCCGCACCCGCGGGGCCGCGTCCTGCAGGATCTGCTCGGCCAAGGGCAGCGCCGGGGCCGGGCCGGAGCCCCGCGCCCGCCGGGCCTTGGGCATCGCGGCGGAACCGGGGGACAGCGGCTCCGGGCCGGGGAGCGACACGCGGGATCTGCCCCCGCCTTTTCCGGGGAGGATCCGCCTCTTCCCGGTGCCACCGGCTCCGCCCGTTCCGGTGGTGGCAGCGGCACCATGGGGGTCACTTGGTGGGTGAGGGGGGCTCCGGGACGGGCTCCGGGGTTGGGGGAGAGGCACCGGGATAGACTCCTGGAGTGGGGGACGGAACCGGGATAAACTCCTGGAATAGGGGGCGGCACCGGGAATAGGCTTCTGGAATGGGGGGCGGCACCGGGAATGGGCTCCTGGAATGGGGGGCGGCACCGGGAAGGGCTCCTGGAATGGGGGGCGGCACCGGGATAGATTCCTGGAGTGGGGGGCGGCACCGGGAAGGGCTCCTGGAATGGGGGGCGGCACCGGGATAGATTCCTGGAGTGGGGGGCGGCACCGGGAAGGGCTCCTGGAATGGGGGGCGGCACCGGGATAGATTCCTGGAATGGGGGGCGGCACCGGGAAGGGCTCCCGGCGCGGACAGCCCCGGGGCCACGGGAGGAATCTCCGGGTGCAGGATGCGGAGCAGTCCCGGGGGCGCGGCCGGCGGTGCCCCGGCGGGTCCGTGAGCCCCGGTCCGTGTCGCAGCGTGTCGCAGGTGCCGGTGGCCGAGGGCAAGAGCGTGCAGCAGACGGTGGAGCTGCTGGCGCGGCGGCTGGAGGCGCTGGGCGCGGACAAGCAGGGCACGTTCGGCGTGGACTGCGAGACCTATCACACCGCGGCCACCCTCGGCACGCAGGGTCAGCAGCGCCCGGGGCAGCCCTTCCTTCCCCAGGCTCCTCTTTCCCTTTTCCTTCCCGTCCTCTTCCTCGTTCTCTCCTTCTCCTTCCCCACCGTCCCTGGAGGCGCCTGGGTCTGGTGCTGGCTGATGGGGGTTAGGGGTTACAGTGGCAGTGCTGGCTGAGGGATGGATTGGCTGATCATGAAGCTTTCTTCCAACTTAGTTGATGATTCTGCAATTCCTTCTTCCCTTTCTCCTTTTCCTTTCCTCTCTTCCCCTCCTTTTTTCCCTTTCCTTTTCCCTTCTCCCTCCTTCCCTGGCTCCCCCCATCCCTTCCAGGCATTGATGTGATGTTCACCACTGAGCCCACACAGCTCTGGCTCTGCTGAGCCGTTGTTCCCGGCCAGACCCATTGGAATCTTCCAGAGCAGCTTTTTCCTGCTTTTTTGGCAGCTGGAACGTGGAGGAGAGGCTGAGCCCAGCTCCCTCCGGGCAGTGGGTGGGAGGTGGGTGCTCCGGGGCTTCTCCTTTCACCTCACCCCGAGCCGTGCTGATGTTTTATCCCTATAATTTTCCATAAGAAAACCCAAGCTCTTCCCTGAATGGATACCATAACAACCACGTGAAGATCCAGAATTAAAGCAAGGAGGACGAGAGGCAGCGAGAGGAGCTGCTTTAAGGCAGGAGTTCGGTTTTCCAGCCCGGCCCCCTCGCTGTCGTTCCAGGGCAGACAGGGAAGCTGATGTACGTCATGCACAACTCCGAGTATCCCCTGAGCTGCTTCGCCCTCTTCGAGAACGGGCCCTGCCTGGTGGCCGACGCCAACTTTGACACCCTCATGGTGAAGCTCAAGGGCTTCTTCCAGAACGCCAAGGCCAACAAGATCGAGAGCCGCGGCACCCGCTACCAGTACTGCGACTTTCTGGTGAAGCTGGGCACGGTCACCATGGGCCCCAGCGCCAGGGGCATTTCCGTGGAGGTGAGAGCCCTTTGGGAAGGGTGGGGAGTGCCTGGGTGGGCAGGGGGATCCTGTGGGAGAAGCTGGAGAAGGGAGGTTTAGGGGTGATCTAATGGAGGGTGTCTGAAGCGAGCCAACGGGGAAGATTCAGTGGTGGTTTAGTTATAAGGGCCTGGAGCTCCAGGAGAAATGGGAATGGCTTCACACTGCCAGAGGGCAGGGATAGGTGGGATATTGGGAAGAAATTCTTCCCTGGGAGGGTGGGAAGGCCCTGGAGTAGGTGTTCCAGAGCAGCTGTGGCTGCCCCCAGATCCCTGGAAGCGTCCAAGGCCAGGGGACTTGGAGCAGCCTGGGACAGTGGAAGGTGTCCCTGCCCTGGATGAGCTTTAAGGTCCCTTCCCCAAACCATTCCATGATCCCTGTCCTGTCTGTGTCTCAGTCATGTTGCTGGTGCAGCAAGGCTTGGACTGCAGGTTTGGATCTCCTCTCCCAAGGTGTAATCCAGGACTGTCCCTGCAGTGGGAATCCCTGCAGGAATTCCATCCAGATAAAAAGCTAATTAAATACCATCCCTGAGGTTAATCAGCATGGTGAAGGGGATAAAACAACCCCTCCAGTGCTAATTCTGTGCTGATTTGGGGCTTGCTGTCCTTCCCTTTGGAAAGAGCCTCTTGCATGTTCCCAGCATGTCCTGTCTTGTTTATATTTACCCATCCTTGTTAGGTGCTGAATATTTTGAGATGTTTCCATGAAAAGCCTTCCCTGTAGGGAGGCTCCAGGGCTGTGGGGATCTATACTCAGGTGGAATTCTGCCCTGCTGCCACCTCCAGGGGGCTTGGGCTGTGTTCCCAGGTGGAATACTGTCCTTACTGCCAGCTCCAGGGCTGTGGGGTGGTGTTCCCAGATGGAATTCTGCCCCTGCTGTCACCTCCAGGGGGTCTGGGATGTGTTCCCCGGTGGAAAACTGTCATTCCTGCCAGCTCCAAGCCTCTAGGGCTTTGTTCCCAAGTGGAATTCTGCTCCTATGAGCAGCTCCAAGCCTGTAGGGCTGTGTTCCCAGTTGGAATACTGCCCCTGCTGTCACCTCCAGGGCCCTGGGCTGTGTTCCCAGGCGGAATATTGTCATTCCTGCCAGCTCCGAGCCTGTGGGGATGTGTTCCCAAGTGGAATACTGTCCCTGTGCCTGCAGGGCTGTGTTCCCAGGTGGAATTCTACCCCTGTGCCTGCAGGGCTGTGTTCCCAGGTGGAATTCTACCCCTGTGCCTGCAGGGCTGTGTTCCCAGGTGGAATTCTGCCCCTATGAGCAGCTCCAAGCCTGCAGGGCTGTGTTCCCAGGTGGAATCCTGCCCCTGTGAGCAGCTCCAAGCCTGCAGGGCTGTGTTCCCAGGTGGAATCCCGCCCCTGTGAGCAGCTCCAAGCCTGCAGGGCTGTGTTCCCAGGTGGAATACTGCCCCTGTGTGATCGCCAACGACTGCTGGAACCTGCTGATGGAGTTCATGCAGAGCTTCATGGGCAGCCACGCGCCCGGCATCCCGTCGGTGTTCGGCTCCAAGCACGACGGCGCCTACAGCCCCGGGGACACCATGGTGCAGTACATGGAGCTCTTCAACAAGATCCGCAAGCAGCAGCAGGTGCCCGTGGCTGGCATCAGGTGAGGAGCGTCCCCCGCAGCTCCCCACCCTGCCTGCATCAGGAGAACATCCAGAATGTTCCACGGGAGTTGTTCCTGCTGGGGCTTTCCCGTCTCAAAGCCATGGAGATGTCGGAACTCTGCTCGTGTGCTGGGATCCCTGGGGATTCCTCCTGGGCTTTTGTTAATTCTGGGTGTCCTCCACGGTCTGGGATTCTTGGATCCGTTGGTTCTGTGGTTTTTTTGGACAGCGTTTCGTGCAGGGAAAAGAGAAATTCCAGAAGATTACAGCCGTCTCTTAAATTTCTATTTTTTTTTATACCCACGTTGGTGTTTTGTTGTATTTCATCCCAATAAAAGGCTGGATTTGGGGAGGAGGGGTTGTCCCAGCACAGTGAGGGTTGTGTTGTACATTTCCAGGCTTCCCTTGGATTTCCTTCAAGAGTTTTACGCCCCCAAAGCAAACATTTCCCTGTGAAAAAAATCCAGGAATCCTCTAATTTTCCTGTTCCTGGCACGTTCTTACCTTGCCTTCATCCTCTGTAGCTGATGGGAATGTCAAAATCTGCTGCCTCCCAGTGAAGGCTCTGAATAAATTAAAAAATAAAATAAATAAGCCTGGCAGGAGCATTGTCTGGCACTGAGAGAATTCCAGCTGCTTTATCCCATTGTTTTTAAGGTAGATAATAAATATCCTGTCCCTGCTCACCATTTGAGAAGTCCTGATGGCTTCAGATTCAGTGGAATAAGGAAGGATTTGGGCACTGAAAGCCAAAAATTCATTGTAAGACGTAATGATATCACTTGAATATATTTTTTCCTTCATATTTCTGGGAAGGCACCAGCATTAAAAAAAAAATATTGTTGGTTCCTTGCCCATAAGGGTCTGAACAGCAAAGAAAACAGAAATAATTTGTCTTAAACAGGTTTTTTAGATGAAGCAAAAAGGAAAAAAAAGCTGATTTGTGGCTCAGAATGGTTTTGTTGTTTTTTTTTAAATATGATGCTCTATTGTTTATACTTGTAAACCTAATTAACTGTTAAAGTGCTCAGAGCTTTCAGTTGTGAGGATTTAATAAATTTAATCAGCACAGGGCCCAGAAAGAGATGGTTCATGAGCCATAAGAAATGGCACAATGTCCCCTAGGTGTGGTAGAAATTCCAACATGCTGAATACACTGATTTTTTTGCAGCTCTTAGCCCCAAGTTCATGACTTTTGTGGGACTGCTCAGTGGTGAAAATCCACTGTCCTTCCATGTAGTTAAACTGGGAAAACTTAGGGAAACAAGCTAGGATTTATAGGGATGGTTATCCCTGTCCTGTTTCCCATTACAAGCCTTAAAGTTAAAAAAAAACAACCCTGTTAATGAGCAGATTAGTCATGGTGAATGTTGGGAATGCTTTGTTAATTCCCGAGGCTGCTCCGTAAGCAGAGATGTCAAAACTCTGCTCGTGTGCCTAAAAACCATGGAAGTGTGTGCTGGGATCCCTGGGGATTCCTGGGCTTTTAGGAATTCACCATGCTGTTCCTGGAGTTCCAAAAAGGGACCCCTGGAGCCACGTTCTGCCTTTAATTAACCCCTTGACGTCAGTGGGTTTGCAGAGAATGAGGATGAGGAGGATTTAGTCCTTTATATCCCAGCAAAGCTTGTTGCTGCTTTCTGCAAATGAGGGATTCAGCTGCTCCTTTCACTCCCTTCATGGCCAAAATTACTCTATTTCCATGGAAAAAATCCTCATTTTGGCTGTCAAATCCCAGTTTGGAAGGTTGGTTTTCTCAGATCCCAGGTGGCCACACTGGGATCCTGCTCCGTCGTGGATCCTTTTTTTTCTGCTTCTGCACCTCTCAAAATCTCTGTCAGTGTTGTTTCATTCCCTAAACTGGGAATAAAATTCATTCCCAAGAGGGTTTTTTTTTATTATTTATATTTCTTTATTTATACAGGTGATGTTATCAGGGTCACGAGTGCTTCAGTGGCAGAGCCAGTCCCAAGTCTCACTGCCACCAGAGGATTTTTGGGGCTTTTGTTCTGTTCTTGTGCTGTGGCATTTTTTTAATCTCACCAAGAGAGTGAGGATCGTTACCCTCCAGTTTTAATTCTTAGACATTGCAGGCTCATTGCAGCTGTGCCAATATGGATTTCTGTGCAGGTACAGGGTCAAAATGGGCCAGGCATGGGTGCCACCATCGCCTCGGGGTCCCTGTCACCCCAGGGGCCATGTGGGGTGTGACCCCATTATCTCAGAGCCCCCACCCCAGGTTCTCCATCACCTCATGGTCCCTGAGGTGATGGGAAGGGTCCAAGGGGGGCTGTGGGGACCTTTTGGGGTGTCCCCTCACCACCTCAGGGAAACCTTTGGGGTGTCCCCTCATCACCTCACAGACCCTTTGGGGTGTCCCCTCACCACCTCAGGGACCCCCGGGGGGGGGGGCCCCCCCCCCCGGGGGTCCCTGAGGTGATGGGGGGCCACGGAGGTTCTGAGGTGATGAAGACCCTGAGGGGATTGGGGGGACACCTTAAAGGGTCCCTGAGGTGATGGGGGGCCACGGAGGTTCTGAGGTGATGAAGACCCTGAGGGGATTGGGGGGACACCTTAAAGGGTCCCTGAGGTGATGGGGGGCCACGGAGGTTCTGAGGTGATGAAGACCCTGAGGGGATTGGGGGGACACCTTAAAGGGTCCCTGAGGTGATGGGGGGCCACGGAGGTTCTGAGGTGATGAAGACCCTGAGAGGATGGGGAAACCATGGAGAGGGGGTGGGGGCTCTGGTTTCTGAGGTGATGCGGGGACAGACAAACTGCTCCCTGAGGTGGTGAGGGGACAACCCAAACGGTTTCCTGACCTGGAGAGGGGACACCCCAAAAGGTCCCCACAGCCCCCCTTGGACCCTTCCCATCACCTCAGGGACCCCTTTGGGGTGTCCCCTCACCACCTCAGGGAGCAGTTTGTCTGTCCCCGCATCACCTCAGAAACCAGAGCCCCCACACCCTCTCCATGGTTTCCCCATCCTCTCAGGGTCTTCATCACCTCAGAACCTCCTTGGCCCCCCATCACCTCAGGGACCCTTTAAGGTGTCCCCCCAATCCCCTCAGGGTCTTCACCCCTGCCCTCCCCGGGGTGCCCCCTCATCGCCTCAGGATCTCCATCTCAAGGCATCCATCACCTCAAAGCCCTCACAGCCTGGCCCTTGTGCCCCCTATCACCTCAGGGACCCCCGTGGGGCGCGCCCCCCCCATCACCTCAGCACCCCCATCACCTCAGGGCCCCCGTGGGGTGCCTTCCACCCCACGCCACCCCCTCGGGGCCCCCCGCGCCGCCCCTTTAAGAGCCTCTTTGTCTCCGAGACACCCTTATTTACCCTCCCGTGCCTCAACCGAACTTCGGCCCCGCGATTCACAAAGCCCGGTACGTCACGGGCGGGGGCGGGACTCGAACCCGCGCCGGCCCGCCCCCCTCGGCGCCCATTGAACAGCGCCTCCTGCCGGCTGCGCAGACTGCGTACGCCCCGGTACCGCTCTGCCCGCCGCGGCGTACGCTACGCCGGCGGGGTGCGTATGCTACGCAAGCAGCTTAAACACCAGCGGTCTTAACCCGTTTGCCGCGCTACGCAACTGGCGTAAGCGGAGGAGAGGGAGGCGGGTGTTGGTGTTGAGTGACGCGCGCTCCAGCCAATGGAAGGGCGGGGCGGGGCGCGGCGGCCAATGGGCGGGGAGGGGGCGTGGCCGGCCGGGGCGTCTCGCGCTGGGTGACAGCTCGCGCGTGCTGGTGATGGCGGTAAATAAAGGGGACGGGGGGGGACACACGGGACGCGACCCCTCATGAGGACAGAGAGGGACAGAGGGGTGGGGGGATATGGGGGCTGAGGAGGAGGAGGAGGAGAGGAGGGGTCTTCGGTGCTCCCCCCCTCAAAGGGACCCCCCCCCTGTTCTCCGTGGAGGGGCTGAGGCGGACCCCGCTGCGCTCCCCGCTCAGCCCTCACGGGGGTCGCCGCCTTTGTGTGCGGGCGGGACCCCCGCGCCGGGCTCGGCGGCTCCGCAACTTTGCCTTTGTTGAGGGAACATCCTCCCCTCTCCGCGTTCCCCCCCTCATCCTCGGGGTCCATTCCCACCTCCCCACACTCCCTTTTATCCTCCTCTTCCTAAAATCCCCCAAACCCCCCTCCAGCTCCTCCTTCCCGGGACCCTCTCCCCCTTCCCCGGGAGCGTGAGGGGGTGCTGGGGGTCGTGGCTTTGCTGGGAGGGGGGGACAAAAAAAATTTAAAAACTGCCATGAAACCTCTGTGCTGAGCCGGAACGGGGAAAGGGCACGAAAACGGGGAAATTCGGTGCGGGTCTGTGTTTATTTAGGAAAAAAAACAACCCTAAAAAGCCGTGCGTTTGTGTCCCCAAGAGGGGGGAAGAGCTGAACTTGATCCGGGGGAGGGCTTGGCACCAAAACTGCTCCAAAATCCCCCTTTTTAAACCTCCAAGGGGATCCCCCCTTACCACAGAGCCACGGGAATCACGGATCAGGGATAACCGAGCCCTTCAAAACCCGAATCCAGCGCTGGAAAAGCTGCTAATTTTAGGGGAAAAAAAATCGCCCGTTAATCGCTTTACACGTAGGGAACGAGGCTGATCCTTGTGTCAAAAGAGCTCCGGGTGGAACGGCGTGGAAAGCATCCCGTTATCCCCAAATATTGGAGCTGGGAGAGCGGGAAGTTGCCTTTACTTCGCGGAGTTCTTGGCTGTAGTTTTTAGTCAGGGAGAGATGCCTGGAGTGGCTGGGCTCGGCTGGTGTGAAACGAGGCAAAATTTGGTCCTTTCACGCTCCGCTGCCTCGGGGAAGATGCTCCTGGAGCCCAGGGATGGAGGTGGAGATTCCAGGGAAAACGGATGGATTCCAGCGGGATTTTTTTTTCCTGGAGTTTTCAGGCTTTCCTGTGAGGAAGAAAGGCGGAAATCAGCGGATTAAAAGGGATGATTTTGTAGGGCTGGAAGCAAAAAATAAGGTGTTGTGGAGGGGGCTTCAGCTGAGGAAATGTGGCTGGGATGTGGGAATGAGGGTGGGAGAAAGAGCTGGAGGATGAGAGGGGATAAACTAGTGGAATTGTGAATTAAAAACTCCCTGTGGATTAAATTTGGATTAAATGAGTGTTGCTGTAAAGTGTTGGGAGCTGCCCCGTGTGGAATTTTCACCAAAATTTGGCTGCTCTGCCTGGGGCAGCTGCCCTGGGGAGCTCCTGTGGTTTATTCAGGGTCACAGAGGTTGGGTGATGTTTAAAAACCCAAAAAGGAGAACGTTTGGGGTTTTATTTGGTGTTTTTAATTGCCTTGAGAACGGGCTGGGCACAGATATTTGGGAGCAGTGTGCCAAGTGTGAGCAGCATTTGATGTCTCTGAGCTTTCAGCAAACCATAAATGTGCATTTATTCCTCCCCTGATCATTCTCCCAATGAAGCGGGACTGACTCCAAGTGCAAAAGGGTGTTTTGAAGTTGGCAGATTTTTTATTTTTTTTTTTTTCCAGCGTGTTTTGTGCAAGCTGGGTTTGTTAAAAGAGAATTTTGCTTGTTCAGGAGCAGGGCTTGGACAATAGTCACACATGCAACGGGTTAGGGGCTAGAAAAGAGCCAAAAAAGCCCAAACTGGGGATTTTTTTTTTTTTTTTGGCTGTTGTGTGGCCAAGGATTGTTAGGAAGGAATCTCTTGATGGAGAAATTTGGGACCAGCCTCGTGTGCTGGGAAGGAAGTGCTGACAATTGCTCAGTGGGGACAGAAAAAAGCACCTTCAGGTTCTGGGTGTCTTTTTTTTGGCAGAGGATTTCTCGTGGCTGCTGCAGCTCTGCCCACATCACACAGGTCGTTTTCCTCGGTGCTAAACACACTCACTTGTTAATTATTATTTTGAAGCAGCCCTGTGTTGTCCCAGCACCTCTGAACACGTGAGGAGAGGCACTTGCTCAGCACCAAAAGTGGTTTGTTGAGTATAAAGGACTGAAAATGCCTTTTAGATGCTGTTTTTCTTGGCCTTTTTTCCCCCCTTCTTTAACTGTTTTTATATTGAAATGTCACAGGGCTGCTGCTGGGACTCATAAAGTGAAATTTAGTGTTTTCTCAGCCCTCAGAAGATGTTATTGGATTGATTTAGAACGGTTAACAATGGGAATATTTCAAAATAATGCAAAATTCTAAAAAATCCTCCAACATTCAGCTGCTGCTGTGTAAGTGTGGATTCCTTCCTGAGTGTTTTTAGCCTTGAAGAAGTGTGAAAGGTTTTCTGAAATTGACCCTAGCTCTGAGGCAAAACAAAACCGAGGGGTTTGGTTTAAAATTGTTTAAATAAATATAGAAATAATAAATAAGTTGTCTGACAGCTTTGCCTGTGACTGGGAGCAGTGGTTGAGGGCAGGAGGAATGGGAAGCTGGGGCTGTTTCAAAGGTCTCCCCTCCAACCCTTTATTTTCTGCAGGAATCCTCTCTGGTGAGAATGAGAACTTTTCACACTTTGTTCAACAACATTTGTGGTTTTCAGCTTGAATATTTCATCAAGGGTTGGGTTTGTTGCTGGGGTTTTATTTTTTTTTTTTTTATTTTCCCTTTGGGGAACGAAACCTTGGGAGATGTTTTTATCTCAGCAGCCTGATATTCATAAATTCTCCACCCTTTCCCAGACCCTTTCACTCTTTCCCAAAATCTTCCCCTTTCCCAAACCCTTCCACCCTTCCCAAACCTTTCACCCCAGGCTCTTGTCTAGAAAAAAGCCCCCCTTGAATTCCAGTGAAAGAAAGAGGTCCCTCATTAGTGTCAAACCCTTAATGAGCCTTTGCTCCTAAGGATGCTGTGCAAATCCAAATTGTTGAACAGAAATTATTTAAAAATCCCATTCAGAGCTGGGAATGTCTCGGTTGTTGGTTGATGTTTCCCTGTGTGCCCTCAAATGCTCTTCACTCTGGGGTTTTAGGAGGTTTTAGCTCCAAGGTGGATCAGGTGAGGCTTCTGTGGCTCATGGAATTCCAGCACAGAGCAGCCAGAACACCCCAGGGAAACAAAACAGATTAAAAGGGAGGGGAGGTAAAACTGGAGTGAGATTCTGCCCTTTGCCAGTGCCTTTGGGATGGAATTTTAGGTGAGCTAAAGCTGATTATTTGTCTGTTTGCTGTAATTGATATCCTGGTGCACTGAGGAAAATTCAGATTAAAACCCACTGTTCTGCTGGCTGTGAAAGGAAAAAAAAAAATCCCTTTTTGCAACAGCATTAAGGAGTGACTGCAGTAGGCAGAAAAGAACACAAAGCTGCCAAGTTTATATGTTTTTCCTAATTGTTTTTAATGAGCTTTTAGCTTGCAAGATGATAATGAGGAGCACGTGAGCTGTTACACCTCCGGTTGGTGACAAATCAGCTGAAATCCCTCAGAAAACAGCAAATTGTTGAGACCTACCTTGAGATTCTTGAAAGAACACCGGCTAGGTGAGTTCCTTTAATTAGCTAATTATGCTGTAATTCACTGTGAAGTCTGGCTCTGCTGAGGAAGTAAAAAATAGCTGAAAACCAGGAGCTTTTCTTGTTCCTCCCCACTTCTCCCGTCTCTCTGCTGGGCTCTGTAATTCAGATTTCAGCTGCTTTTCCAAATGGAGACGGAGAGCTGCAATCCGGGGATGTGACAGCTCCAAGTTCCTCTGAAATGTGTCTTGTGTAACGTGTCAGTCGTGACAAATGGACTATTTAAAGAAAGATTCTGGCTGAGGAGGTGGCTTTGCAGCAGTTCGAGGGAGTTTGCTGACTGAAATGCCAAAGGAAAAAAGAGCATCCTCAGGAATCCCCTCACGAGGCTGGAATCGCTGAATAACTTGGATTTTAAAGGAAATAATTGTTTGGGGGGGTGCTGTAGATCACAAAAACGTTACAGATTTAGAAGAAAATGGCATTAATTATGCTGAAAAAATGTCGTTATTAGAATGGCATTAATTATGCTGAAAAAAAATCCATGTAAAACTGTGTTATTCTTTAAAAAACCCCTGAAATCAGCTGTTTATTCCCTGGAGTTGTGAGAAAGAGCCCTGAGCTTGGGTTTAATGATGTTTAATCATTCTTTCAAAAACACAAAGGAGGCACTAAAAGCTGTTCAGCTGAGCTAGAAAGAACTAATAGCTATAACTCAGATTCAAAAGTGATTTAGTTCCAGAGGTAAATCCATAATCCCACCAGTCAGGAGTTCATCTGTCATCAGACTAAGACTAGAAGCAAATCTATTTAACTAAGAATAGTTAATTCACCTTGCAGCAGAGCAGGCACGGAGATCCTGCTCACCAGAGTTTATTTGGAGGAAATAAAATATTCATGATGGAGAGTGGAAACAGCAAGTGGCTTTCAAAAGGAGGAAAAAAAAATCTCCTTTGGAATTGGTTGTGTTCTTTTCCTGCACTTCCCAGCATGGCTGGACCTGCTGGTTTGGGTCATGTGGAAATAAATCAGAATGAGGAAGGAAATATCCTGTTTATCCTAAAATTGGAAGGCTTTAGGAACAGCTTTTTGTGGCATCAAACCCAAATTCACCTCTCCCTCTTTACTCTCCTTGTCCTGTTGTTGTTTCATCTGAGGACAAATTGAAGGGATGAACTTTAACCTCTTAGGAGGATAATTTATTAAAATAACAGATGCTGCAGGGTGGGGCCTGGCTTGATCTGCAGCTCTTAAGGAAGATTAACAACCTGAGAGTTCACAAATCGGGGTCCTGCTTCCACCCCGGCTTGGGGCAGGACAAAGGCGCCGCTCACGTCCTGCAGTTCACAAATAAAAAAGGATTTCAGCCTAATATGCAAATCAGGGATCATTCCATCAGGGAAAGGTAGATTTGTACAAGTGAAATTCTTCTTTTTGTACCAAAAACTAGAGGCACAAACCTCGGGCGAGGCTGGGGCTGAAAAGACAAATTTTAGTTTTATTTTATTTTTAACCGATTTCGTTTTATTTACTTCAAATCTCTGTTTGGACACTGAGGAAGAGCAGGGATTGGCTTTTCCCAGCACAAACCGGGCCCAGCAGCTGAGCAGGGAAGAGGATGTGTAAATCCCTTAATTCTTTGTTGGCAAGAAAACACAGAAGCCCTTGGTGGAGCCCCAGGGTGCAAGTGGAGGGCTCAGAGGTTTTCTATTTCCAGAGCTGGGCACACAGCAGCTCTCTCCATGTGGGAATTCTTATGGATCCTGTACAGAAATCCCATTGAGCACCTTGGGGTTTGCTGGGCAGACAAATCAAACACCAAAACCCTCTCTGCTCTGGGATAAATTGGATAAATGGCTGTGATTTCCTCTTCTTTACCCATTTATAAAACCCACAGAAAATTGTCTGCTGTTGTAAAACCCACAGGAAAAAAAAAATTCTGCAGTTCTGCCTCACTCTTTTAGTGTTAAAAACCCCAAAAAATTGATTGGCAAAGCAGATGATGCAGGGGGCTGTGAAAAGCCGGTGTTATTTTTGGCTGGGGATCCTGAAGGTGCTCGGAGCCCGGCCCGTGGAATTGTGCTCTCCTCTTGAATGCTCTTTTCCTTCTGCCTGGGGAGAGAACCAGGCACGGCCTGCCGGGGCTTTATGGCCTCAGAGATGGCTCTGTCACCTCGCCGTGACCAGATCTGCTCCCAGGATGGGCTCCTTCCTAATCCAGCGGCGATTTCACCGGCGTGGGGCTGAGTTTTGTTCCAAAAAGAGCAGCAGAGGAGCCCCCAGAAGTCAGCGAGTGCTCGCTGTGCTGTAATCCCTCTTTGTGTCTGTCACAAAGGGATCCTGCCACAGGCTGGGATTCCTCTGCTGCCACAGGAGCCCGAGGTGCTGCAGCTGCCAAACTTCCCCTCCTCCCTGTGCCGCGGGGGGCTCTGGGGCTCGTTTCACCGAAATTCCCTGGTTTGGGACACGATTTGGGAATGCTGAAGGTGCTCCAGGTCAGAACAGCACCAGCTCTGCAGGCATGAAATGGTTGAAACTGAAAAAGACCTTTAAGGTGATCAGGTCCAGAGTGATGCTGGGTTTGTTGTTTTTGGGAAGCTGGAGGGGATTGGAGTAGGATTTCCCTGTGAAAAGGCTGATTTTTGGTATTTCCAATCCATAATCTCTGAACTGTTGCCGTGAAGCTCAGCTCTGGATGTGTTGTTCTCCTGATAAATGGGATGTGCTTAGTGGGATAATAATGGTACAAAAGCGTGGGGAAAAGCAAAAATGCTTCCAGCAGCTGGAAAATTTGGGATTTGTGTGGCTGTGATTTAAAGGAATGATGAAAAAAGTGGGAATCTGAGGGAAGGCTTCTGCTTTGTCACCTTGGGATGATTTGGTTTCACCTGTCCCTGGTTTATTATTCCATGGGCACAGATCCCTGGGCAGTGGGAAGTGTGAAAGGAAACAGAGATGCTGGGTATGGGCTGAATCCTGACACTTTGGGGATGGGGGGCACAAAAAAGTGAATTTCCAACAGATTTGGAGTCAGTGCTGCTGATTTTGTGCCCCTAACGTTCCTCCCCTGCCTGCTCTAAGTGAGCTCTTCCAGGAGGGAAGTTTGGGTGGAAAACCTCAGGATTTGGGACCCCACGCTCTGCTCTTGTCACCCCTGTGGACACAGAATTCTTTGGGAATTCCTGGGTCGTGCCAAGCTGGTTGTAAAGTGAAATTAGAACTTTTTATCAGTCAGATTCAGCTCCCAGCCTGTTCTAATTCTTTTTCCTGCTCCAGGCTGATAATTCCAGTTGTGGGCTTTTGCTGTAATTGCTTCAGGCTTTTCCAGATGGAAGAGGCAGGGAATTGCTGTGGGTTCCAGCAGGGAATTGCTGGGAATTCCTTCCCTTTGGAGTGCTCCAGGAGGACTGGAGTTGTTCAGGAATGCTGTGAATTGTTTCAGTGCCCAGATCATCCTTCAGCTCCTGTTTCCCAGCTTACTGACCCTTCCAAAAGCCATCCCAAAAATAAAACCTGGATGGAAAGAAAGGGGAGAAGGGGTTTTTTGTGCTGGAGTAAATAGAGAAATTGACTTTTAGAAATCTGTGAACTATGGCATAAATAGCATTTTAACAATGCTGGGTCATTAAATAGAAATTCCCACCTTTTCAGGCATCTGGAGGATGTGGATCTTGTTTGTTTGTTTTCAGTGACTCTGAGGAATGTAGAGACAATATTTCACCTGGAAATGGAGTTCTGAAGCTGAGGTCAAGAGGTGGAAATTAAAAATACAGCTCCTTGAGGTTTTAGTCATCTCTCCAATGAGAAACTGAGCGTGGCTCAATAAGAAGATTCAAATTTCATCTTTAAAATACTTTAACTTTAAAAACCTTCAACTCACATGGCAGTGCAAACACACAACAACTCATCCCTTTGTGGACTGAAAGATTTCACCTCCTCTTTGCCTTTTCCATGATTATTTCCAAACCCTGCTCCATTCCCAGGCATCTTCAGGAATGTGAATAGAAGACACATGTGCAGCCCTTTGTGTGGAGTTGGAATTCCAGCTCTTGGAAGAGGCCAAGGCTTTTGGTGGAGTCATAAATTTCCCTCCCAACCAACCCAAAAGGAGTTCGGTGCCTTCTCTGACTCCTTGGAATTCACCAGGAAAAGCAGAGGGAGGTGATTTTTTTTTTCCCACCAGGAACAGCAAAAAAAGGCAGGATTGGGTTGTTTTATCCATTCCACCCTTCAGGAATGGGAATATTTAATTCCCTTTTCACTACAGGTGAGGTAACAGCACATTCCAGTTTGCACAAAGGCCCAAGTTGTATTTAAAGCAGCCTTGAAGACCCTAAAGCTTTTTCTGAAGTGCTCAGAATTCCAGAGTTTTAAGGAAAAGAGGTTTTTGTTCCCTGGAGCAGTTTGGTTGATGTGGAGGCTGGACCTGAAAATGCTTTATTTTTGTATTTGTTGTGCTCTAAAGTCAAAGATGGACCAAAATCTGCCAACTTCAGCTTCCTGACAGGATCCAGACATCCAAATCCTGCAGGAATCCTCTTTATTCCCCCCAGGAATGCTGCCAGTGCAGGGAATAGGATTTTCCTAATCTGAGGGCTTTGGGTTTTTCACTCTTTTTTTTTTTTCTGGGTTTGGTTGGGGTTTTTCTGTATTTCTTTAAAAACTCATTCCTGACAATTCCAGCTTCGAGCCTAGAGTGGATTTTGGGAGCTCCCAGGAGGAGTTTAACACTTGCAGAGTTGGAATGAACTGGCAGGACTCCACAAACCTGAATTTGCTGGCAAAGCTGGCAGGAAAATCCCATTTTCCTCAAGCTCCAGAGCTGGAGTTTGGCACAGCTGGGTGAGGTGTGGAGTCCTCCAGTTCCTGTTCCAACAGCTGAATCCAGCAGGAATTCCTCCTGTAGAATTCTCACCTCCCTCCTGGCTTGGAAAATTGGGAATTCTCAGGATTTGGTGAGATCCAGGTGGAGCATTTGTCTTCCTCTTTTCTCCTTGCTAATTTTCCTGTAGCCAGCTGCCAGTTGTGTCAGCCTGGAGAGAGGGAAAGCAGAGATTTTGGGATAGAAAGCTGAGAGTTTTCAGGAAAAAAGCTCCAGAATAATTTGAAAAATCTCTCTGGAAAATCTCTCTGGCCACTGTTGCTCCTCAGGGATGGAATTTGCAAGTCTGAACTTGAAGGAGAGGAGTAAAGGGAAGAAATCCTGCTGGATTTTTGGAGAAGGAGCAGGAAAATGAGATTCCTGCCTCTTTCCCTGGGTGTTTCCATGCTCTGAGTGAGTAATTCTGGAGCACGAGGGTCTCTGAGGACAGGGGCTGAGGGGGTGTGGTGGTGCCACTCCCTCCTTGCAGCAGCAATTCCTATTTTCTAACAGAACATTAATTATCTGAAGGGCTTTTCCTTGAAAAATTGTCATTTCTGATACTTTGTGAAGCAAGGAAGAATGCAGGAGGAATTTCTGCATGGAAGGGGCTGCCCAGGGAGCTATGGAGTCCCCACCCCTGGGGGTGTCCAAGGATTGTGACCAGTGATTCTGGAATTCCATAAATGAAGGATTTTGTCGTGGTTGCCTCCTGGGACAGCTCCTGCCAGAGCTGGAATGGGGATGTTGGAGCAGGATTTTATTCCCCTTTTTTTTTTTTTTTTTTTGGGCAGCTCACATTACAAGTTAGCATTTGCACATGTGGTTCAATGATTGGTGCCTCACAAACAGGGAGGTGAAAACAATCAGGGGAAGAAAGTTGCTTTTGTTTTTGTGGAATTCCTGGAGATCTCTCTGAGATCCCCAGATCTCCATTCTGGAGTGTTGGCAGCAGAAATTGGAGAGTTCCACATAAAAAGTGCTTTGTTGGGGTGGGAAGTGCTTGGCTTTTGCATCCAGGATTTTGAAACCTTTCCCACGGAATCCCAGAATGGTTTGGGATCTTAAAGCTCACCAGGGCAGGGACAGCCTGGCCTTGGACCCTTCCAGGGATCCAGGGGCAGCCACAGCTTCTCTGGGAATTCCATCCCAGCCCTCCCCACCCTCCCAGGGAAGAGTTTCTTCCCAATATCCAACCTAAACCTTCCCTGTTTCATTTTGAAGCCATCCTCTTTGTCCTGTCACAATGATTTGCCCAAAATCTGTCTGTCCCTGATGTAGTTCCGATGGAAACCAAGGACATCCAAGGAATATTTTTCCTACAGTGCTGAAAAAAAATGGTTTAAAAAAAATCCCCAAATGTGCTTTATTTAATGTGACACCAATTCCCAAAGGTTCTCTGCTTCACTTCTGCCATTCCCAGGAGAGGGATGAAGGAATGAGTGAAAAAATCTGAGCTTCCCACCTGTCCTGGCAGATGACTGCCAGCAGTTTGTGCTCTCTCATTTATCCTGGAATCACTTTTTGGACAAATAAAAGCAGCAGCATTCCAAGGTTGAACACCCAGCACCTCTCCTGGCCCCTGGACTGGGTTTTTTTTTGGCTTCTTGCAGATTTATTTAGAAAAAGCAAGTAGCTGCTGTCACCAGATGCCTGCAGATGGCTTTAATCAGGTTCCAAACGTGCAACAATGGCACAAAGGAGCAGAATGAGCTCGGGTGGTTTCTTGTAACTCTCTTTTAGGGGCAGCAGCCAAATTGTTTCTGCTGCATTTGGTTCTGGGAGCTGTTAGAGGAGCTCACTGTGAGTTTTTTCCAGGATTCTGAGCCATGCAAGGCAAGAAAGTGGGGTTTGCCCCAGTGTTTAAGTGATTTACAGGGTGAGAAGTTTTCAAACAGCCTCTAAAATGTTACTAGCTGAACTAATACCCCTATTTTGCTTTTATTCCCTGGGGTTTGTTTTCAGTTTTACTCATCTTTAATGGATTGCAGTGCTCCACGTGATTCCTTCTTCCTCTTTTTCTTCCCCACCTCCATGTAGAGCAACCAAGTGGTTCCCCTCTTTTTCCCTTCTCCCTCTTTTTCCCTTCTCCCTCTTTTTCCCTTCTCCCTCTTTTTCCCTTCTCCCTCTTTTTCCCTTCTCCCTCTTTTTCCCTTCTCCCTCTTTTTCCCTTCTCCCTCTTTTTCCCTTCTCCCTCTTTTTCCCTTCTCCCTCTTTTTCCCTTCTCCCTCTTTCTTTTCCCTTCTCCCCTTTTCCCCTTCTCCCTCTTTCTTTTCCCCTTCTCCCTTTTTTTCCTTCTTTTCCCTCCCCATTCCTTCTCTGGAAAAGATCTAAATAGGCGAGAAAAGGAAGATTTTATAGAGATGTTTTAAAATCAGCTTTTATGGGGAAAAAAAAACTAGCAGCAAACCCAAGAGTTAAACCTGATAATTACAAAGAGCAGAGCTCTGAGTGTTTCTTTCCAGAGCTTTTGAAATCCAAGGTGTTCATTCCCCATCCTTAAATGCTGGTGTTGCTCATGGCTTGTCCCATCCAGTTTGGGATTTCTGGGGCAGCTCCAGCCCTGTGATCTCAGCTAGGTTTGTTTTGAGGTTTGTTTTTCCCTCACCTCGTGCCTGTGTTTACAGCTCCTGACTCACAAATCCTGTTCCCCTCTAATCCCAGCCTTGGAATTCCCACTGGGAGCTGCAGCTCTGTTCCCAGGAGGGGATTGTCACAAAGTGTTTGTGTGCATGTGGAAAAATAGGAAAACTTCTCTCCTTACTCCTGTGCCAGCTTTTCCAGGGATTTATTTCACTCTGTGGTGTGTGGGGGGTGCAGAGCTGGGCCTGCAGCTGCTCCAGCTGCCTTTGGAACATGTGAGAATTTATTCCAATCCTTTTTTTTTTTTTTTCATGGAAAGAGTCAAAAATCTGAGTCAGCAAGAGAAATGTTGAATGTGAAGAACTCTGAAGTGTGGTGGGTGGAGAAGCTTCACTTTCGAGGAAAAACCTCTCATTCAAGTGGTTTGGGGTTAAATAAACACAATTCCTTCCTGACTTTCAGATGTGGAATTACGGCTTGGATTTGTAAGGGAATTATCTGTGGATACCTAAAGAGAATAAAGAGAAGAGGGGAATATCAAATGCAGCATCAAAGGTGCTTTTGTGCTGAGAATTCCTGAATTTAGATGTAACAAAGCTGCTTTGTCAGCTGGCTGAGGTGTTTGGAATCCCTTCCCTTTTCCAAGCAGGAAATCTCCTGGCCCAGCACAGGAAAAGCCAAAGCAGTTGACAAAAAGCTGCTGATTTATCTCCTGCATTGTCACGCAGGATTCCTTAATCTGAATTTTATTTTTTGTAATTCCCTGGATCTGCGGTGGGAGTGATTTCCTGGGAGAACCCAGCAGCTCTTCCTCCTTGGGAATTGAGGAGAAATTCAACGTTTTTTGAAAATTACACTTCACAGAGCCCACGAGCAACCAGCTGTTTGATGAATCCCTAAAAAATTCTGTCTTTCAGGCCTGTTTTTTGTTCCAAAGTACAAATGTGCTGTGCTGGGGAGGCTGAAGGGTTAAATTCCCCACACTGTCGCATATGGCAGTGAGCAGAATCACAGATGTTGATGATACAACATAATTAGTATTCTTTTATGTAAATGAAGGCTGTCAATGTTACCACAGTGTCTGCACTCCTGCAAGCTGGAATTTCTGTCACTTGAGGTTGAGGATTCTAAAGAAAATTCCATGATTTTTATATCCACACCTGAGGAGGAAAATTAAGAGGAAAGAGGGGGGAAAAAGGTGAGGAAGGGATTTTTCCAACTTGGAAAAAAAGAGACCAAATCAATCCTTTGTTTAGGTGAGGATTTCCAAAATCCTTTCCACATCTTGGGATTTGAGAGGGAATGAGCCCAGGCCCAGGGAAATGTGGGAATTTCTGTGCTGGTTTAAATAAAAACCTCCATGGTTCTTTGGGTGCTGAAGTGGCCACTTGAGCTTTCAGTGGAGTCCAGGAGAAAAAACTGAAGAGTTTTGATTTTTTCCTCTAAGAGATCCCATCCTCCACAGCAATAGCACTGATAAAGGTGGTAATTAAAGCAAATTTGTGTCATTTGGGGCCACTAAAAATGCATTTCCTTCACCTGGCCAGCTCCCTGCCCACCCATGCAGGTGAGGGCTCAATCCCTGCCTCAGAGCTTTGGCAAGTGTTCAACTTTGCACCTCACAAAATGCTGTTTTAACCCCATATTCTGTGTGCCAGACCCCTGTGTAACTAACTTCATTCAGATCCATTTTTCCATTCTATTCCACCTCTGTTTTTCCCCCATTTTTCCCATTTTCCCTCTCCTCTTGGTTATTTTGTTGCACTTTGCACCTGCCAACTCCTCCTTGCTTCCTTTTTATTGTTTGAAAAAGCACCTAGAACTGAAATTTAACTGAGCACAGCTTTTCTTTTTTTAATCTTTCCCCCTTCTCCTCCCCCTGTCTCTCACCAGGCAATCAAAGCAGCCAAAAATCCAAGTGATCACAGGAGGGCCACATTTTTTCCTCCTGTTTGGTTTTTTTTTTTTTTTGACTCCCATTTTTCCCCTCTGCCATATGTTGGGTCATCCACTACAAAAGCCTCAACCATGAAGAGGCTCCATGTGATCAGCAGATTTTTACAGCCTGCTCAAATAAAAAAAGATGAAAGCAGAGAATGAAATGGAATGGAATTTTGTGTGTGACGTGTCTCAGCATCTGAGAATTCAGGATCCTGGGGGTAATTCCAGAGAATTATTTCTGGGATGAATGAGTTCTGCACTGAGGAGTTAATGCTGCACCTGCCAGCGTTCCAGGCTTGGTTTCTGTGCATCACCAGGATATTTTCCCCTCTCTCTCCAGGGCTTTGAAGCTGCCTGGCAGTGAGGACTTCCCAGTAATTAAATTCTCCGGGATCCGCGGGAGGATGATGGGGCTGCTGCGCGCCCGCCACGCGGCGTGGCCGAGGAGAGGATGTGTGAGCTGCACCCCGTGAGTAGCCTGGGTCTGACCCCTCCTTCTGTCCCCAGAGCCCTGGAGGGACTGGGAAAAGGATCCACAATTCACTGGGGATCTTCTGTCAAACCAAGATTTAAGATTTTAGCTTTTCATGCATTTATAATCCTGTAATTCTTCAGTGTGTAACTCTAAACTCCATGGCGTAGGAGAGGATGTGTGAGCTGCACTCCATGAGCAGCCCTCCTTCCTGCTCCAGAGCCTTGGAGGGACTGGGAAAAGGATCCACAATTCACTGGGGATCTTTTGTCACACCAAGACTTAGGGTTTTAGCTTTTCATACATTTATAATCTGTAATTCGTCAGCGGTGGAGGAGAGGATGTGTGAGTGCACTCCGTGAGCAGCCTGGGTCTGACCCCTCCTTCTGTCCCCAGAGCCCTGGAGGGACTGGGAAAAGGATCCACAATTCACTGGGGATCTTCTATCAAATTCATGCCTTAGGATTTCAGCTTTTCATACCTTTATAATCCTGTAATTCTTCAGTGTATAACTCTAAACTCCATATCCAGTGTCTAAAACCCTTTTTCCCTTGTGTTCTTTTCCCCCCAAAGTCGGAGCGGTGACTCCTCCTGTGAGACAAGGATCGATGCAGACAGGGAGAATTTGGGATGCCCTGTGCAGGGCCAAGAGTCAGATTTGATGGTGCTAACCCTTCTACTGACCCCACAAGGAGATCTCAAATTCATGTCACAGCACTAAAACCCTTTCCCTTGTGTTTTTCCCCCCGAGGTCGGAGCAGCGACTCCTCCTGTGAGACATGGATCGATGCAAACATGTGGGGCGGCTACGACTCGCCCAGGACCACTCGATCCTGAACCCCCAGAAGTGGCAGTGCGTGGACTGCCACACCACCGAGTCGCTCTGGGCCTGCCTCAAGTGCTCGCACGTGGCCTGCGGGCGCTACATCGAGGAGCACGCCCTGAGGCACTTCCAGGAGACCCGGCACCCCTTGGCCATGGAAGTGCACGAGCTCTACGTCTTCTGTTACCTCTGCCAGGATTACGTCCTCAACGACAACCCCGAGGGCGACCTGAAGCTGCTGAGGAGCTCGCTGTCGGCCATCAAGGGGCAGAGGAGCGGCAGGACGCTGCGCTCCATGGCGCTGGCCGAGGACGCCTGGAGGAGGAGGAGCCCCCAGGGCCAGTCCCAGATGCTCACGGCGCTGTGGCACCGGCGCCAGGCCCTGCTGGCGAGGGCTCTGCGCACCTGGTTCCACAAGAGCTCCCGGGGACAGCTGAAACTGAAGGAGAAAAAACAGATGGAGGAGCTGGAGAAGAAGAAGGAGGCGGCTCGGCAGCGGCGGCAGGAGATGAAGAGGCAGCTCCTGGAGGAGTTGGCCAGCACGCCGCCGAGGAAGAGCGCCAGGCTGCTGTCCCACGTGCACAGGGAGAGCTTGATCCCAAGGAAATTCAGGGAGGTGGCCACAGCTTCCCCTACCTCAAGGCAGGTGCAGAGCAGCAGATTGAAGCAGTTCTACTCCATCCGGCGGCAGCCCCTGATGACGCCCGGGGTGACGGGGCTGAGGAACCTGGGCAACACTTGTTACATGAACTCCATCCTGCAGGTGCTCAGCCACCTCCAGAAGTTCCGAGAATGTTTCTTGACTCTTGATCTCTGTGAAACTGAAGAACTTTTAGCTAAAACTGTGAACGGGAGAGCCAGGATGCCTGGCAAGCTGGCAAACGGGGCTGCTGCTAACGAGCCAGGGAAGCCTGGCGAGGTGGGCTCGTCCGGCACGCAGAGCTCTCCGGCCGGCTTGAACGGGGGCTCCTCCATCAGCCGCAGCTTGGAGCTCATCCAGCCCAAGGAGCCCAGCTCGAAGCACATCTCCCTGTGCCACGAGCTGCACACCCTGTTCAGGGTGATGTGGTCTGGCAAGTGGGCCCTGGTGTCCCCGTTTGCCATGCTGCACTCCGTGTGGAGCCTGATCCCGGCGTTCCGCGGCTACGACCAGCAGGACGCGCAGGAGTTCCTCTGCGAGCTCCTGGACAAGGTGCAGCAGGAGCTGGAGTCCGAGGGCAGCAGGCGCAGGATCCTCATCCCCTTCTCGCAGAGGAAGCTCACCAAGCAGGTCCTCAAGGTGGTCAACACCATTTTCCACGGGCAGTTGCTCAGCCAGGTATGGAGTTGCTTTTCCACAGGGATCCGCTGGAGCTGTTCACACCGAGGAGCAAAGGCTCTGCACGTTGAGGATCCCATTGAGGAGTCTCTTAGGAATTCCCAAATCCTGAGGAAAAAGTCCCTTGAGTTGCCACCATTTCCATCCTAATCACATTTAGCACAAACTCACTTCAGTTGTGCCACTTCTGGATGAGACCTGCACAAGCACAGAAGTCCTGAGCCCCTGAGCTTTTAGGCTTTGAATATGTTCAGTCCTGAGCTTTTAGGCTTTGAATATGTTCAGTCCTGAGCTTTTAGGCTTTGAATATGTTCAGTCCTGAGCTTTTAGGCTTTGAATATGTTCAGTCCTGAGCTTTTAGGCTTTGAATGTGTTTTTAAGATGCCTTTCCTTTTTTTTTTTTTTTTTTTTTTTGCCCCTTTCTGGTGTTGTTTCTGTGCCTGGGAAGAACATGATGGAGCTGGACAAAAAAAAAAAAAAAAAAAGAAAAAACCTGAGGCATCATTCCTCCCTTTAAAACACTGCTAACAAGGATATTTATGCTTTTCACCCAATCTTAAATATTCTCTTTTATGGCTTTATGCTCAGTGTAAGCTTTCTGAGCCAATCATGTTATGACACACAAACCTACAGTACTGTACTCCAAAACTCTAAACTTTCCTCTACTTAACCTGTCTCTGCTTTAAACTATAAATCCACATTCTTGCTTACAGCAAGGTCTCAGATCAATTCCTGGGTTTAATTCTAAATTTTTTTGCCTCCCAAGACTGTAGCAGTGATTCCTCCTGAGACATGGATGGATGCAAATGTGGGGAATTTGGGGTGTCCTGTGCAAGATTAGGAGTCACATTTGATGATCCTGACCCTTCCAATGACCCTACAATGAGATTTCAAATGAGTGTCACAGCTCTAAAATCCTTTTCCTTGTGTTTTTTTGCCTCCCAAGGCTGGAACAGTGACTCCTCCTGAGACATGGATGGATGCAAATGTGGGGAATTTGGGGTGTCCTGTGCAGGGCCAGCAGTCACATTTGATGACCCTTTTGTCCCTCTTCCAGCTGGGACTATCCCATAACCCTACAAGAACATTTCAAATTCACATTGCAGCTCTAAAATCCTTTTCCTTGTGGTTTTCCTTTGTGTTTCCATGCTTTTTGCACCAAAGACTGGAACATTGACTCCTCCTGAGACATGGATGGATGCAGACGTGGGGAATTTGGGGTGTCCTGTGCAGGGCCAGCAGTCACATTTGATGACCCTTTTGTCCCCCTTCCAACTGAGGAAGGCCCAAAAGCCCAAAGCTGTGAGAATTCCCTGCGTTTCAGACTCCAGCTGTGTGTCCCTGTGTCCCTGTCCCAGGTCACCTGCAGGACGTGCAACTACAAATCCAACACTGTGGAGCCCTTCTGGGACCTTTCCCTGGAATTCCCGGAGCGGTACCATTCCCTGGAGAAGGGGATCCTGCCCGTGCCCCAGGCTGAGTGCCTGCTCACTGAGATGTTGGCCAAATTCACCGAGACAGAAGCCCTGGAGGGGAGGATCTACGCCTGTGACCAGTGCAACAGTGAGTGCCACCACCCCCTGGCACTGTCCCCTGCCGGGGACACTCCTGCCGGGCTGGGGAATCTTCCCAGTAATCCCTGAGTGGATGGGATTGGAAGAGAGGCTGGAATAAATCCTGCCCCAGAAACTGCGGGAGTTCAGCTTCGTCTGAACTCGGTTTGCTTGGCTCTATGGGAGGAAAAAGAAAGACAATTAATGCTTCAGAATTAAATGAGTGGCTTTTAAGGAATTCTGAGTGGCTTTTAAGGAATTCTGAGTGGCTTTTAAGGAATTCTAGATCACTAAGAGTTTTTAAGTGGCTTTTAAGGAATTCTAAATGGCTCAGGAATTCTAGATCACTAAGAGATTTTAAATGGCCTTTAAGGAATTCTGAATGACTTAAGGGATTCTCAATGGCTCAGGAATTCTAGATCACTAAGAGATTTTAAATGGCTTTTAAGGAATTCTGAATGACTTAAGGAATTCTCAATGGCTCAGGAATTCTAGATCACTAAGAGATTTTAAATGGCTTTTAAGGAATTCTGAATGACTTTTAAGGGATTCTGAGTGGCTTTTAAGGAATTCTGAGTGGCTTTTAAGGAATTCTAGATCACTTAAGAGATTTTAAGTGGCTTTTAAGGAATTCTAAATGGCTGAGGAATTCTGCTTTTAAGGAATTCTAAATGGCTCAGGAATTCTAGATCACTAAGAGATTTTAAATGGCTTTTAAGGAATTCTGAATGACTTAAGGAATTCTCAATGGCTCAGGAATTCTAGATCACTAAGAGATTTTAAATGGCTTTTAAGGAATTCTGAATGACTTAAGGAATTCTCAATGGCTCAGGAATTCTAGATCACTAAGAGATTTTAAATGGCTTTTAAGGAATTCTAAATGGCTGAGGAATTCTGCTTTTAAGGAATTCTAAATGGCTCAGGAATTCTAGATCACTAAGAGATTTTAAATGGCTTTTAAGGAATTCTGAATGACTTAAGGAATTCTCAATGGCTCAGGAATTCTAGATCACTAAGAGATTTTAAATGGCTTTTAAGGAATTCTCAATGGCTTTTAAGGAATTCTAAATGGCTGAGGAATTCTGCTTTTAAGGAATTCTAAATGGCTCAGGAATTCTAGATCACTAAGAGATTTTAAATGGCTTTTAAGGAATTCTCAATGGCTTTTAAGGAATTCTGAGTGGTTTTTAAGGAATTCTGACTGGCTTTTAAGGAATTCTAAATGACTTCTAAGGAATTCTGAATGGATTTTAGGGAATTCTAAGTGGCTCAGGAATTCTAGATCATTAAGAGACTTTAAATGGCTTTTAAGGAATTCTGAGTGGCTTTTAAGGAATTCTGAGGGGTTTTTAAGGAATTCTGACTGGCTCTTAAGGAATTCTAAATGACTTTTAAGGAATTCTGAATGGCTTTTAAGGAATTCTAGATCATTAAGAGACTTTAAATGGCTTTTAAGGAATTCTGAATGATTTTAAAGGAATTCTAAATGGCCTTTAAGGAATTCTAGATGGCTCAGGAATTTTAAATGGCTTTTAAGGAATTCTGAGTGGCTTTTAAGGAATTTACATGGCTGAGGAATTCTGAAGAGGCTTTTAAGGAATTCTAAATGACTTTTAAGGAATTCTGCACGGCTCAGGGAGCATTTTCCAGCTGGAAGGAGTCAGGGAAAAGGCCCCAAGTGCCAGGGGCAGCGAGGACACTGCTGCCAGAGCTGCTGCAGGAGCTGGGGCTGCACAAATCCAATTAACAGGTGCAGTGCTAATTGGGATCTCTGACAGCCACCTGGCCCCTTCTGCTCCAGCCTTTCCTGGGAAGAGGAGGGAGGAATTTTTCCTCTTTTCCAGCTTTGCTGTTGCTGGGAGCATTTTTTAAATGCTTCTGTGAGGAGCTCAAAGCAGCAGAGAGAATAAAAATATTGAAGATTTGGGAGCTGGAATTCACCTGCAGCCCAGGAAATCTTTGGCTCAACATTCCTGGTGTTATTCCAACAGGAAAAAAAAAAATCTCTGATTTGTCACTCAGAGGTGACAAATGTTTGTGTAATGAGGAGAAGGGAGAGTTTGGACCTCACAGAAATTCTGAAATGTTTATTCCTGTGACCATCCCCGTGCTGAGGAAAAAAAAAAATAAAGATTTCACCTTGTGCTGGTTTTTCTCTTGGGGGAATTAACAGGATCCTGGTAATCTTTGCCTCGAGGGTTTTTTGGATTTTTTTTTTTGGCAGGTAAAAGGCGAAAATCTTCTCCCAAACCTCTTGTTCTGAGTGAAGCTAAGAAGCAGTTGCTGATCTACAGACTACCTCAGGTCCTCCGGCTGCACCTTAAACGCTTCAGGTGAGGCACTGAGCCCTGGATTTTGGGGAAAAAGTGACCAAAAATGGGCCTTTAAACACCCTCAGTTCCTGCTGAAAGCGGCTGTGTGGCTTCTGAGCCATCAGGTTGATGAAACCCCCTCGTGTTGCACGTTTTTCAGGGGTTTTTTTCTGCCATAATTTAATATTTTGTGCATTTAATTCTTAATTTCTTCGGGTTTTAATCGAGTTTGCAGGAAGCTTGGAAGGAGAAGTCAGTAAGCTGAGTGAAAGGTGGGAGATTGGGAGAATTCAGTGCCAGTATTGGCTGTTTACATGTGGAACAGAAAGCAGAAAAAGCTCAAAAGATGAGGACAAGACTCTGAAGTGGTCAGGGTGGGTGTGGGGGGGGGTTTATGGGTAGGGCTGAGGATTTTAAAGGTGGTCAGAGGAGAAATCTGCCTCAAAAATACCCCACCTGAAACAAAAAATACCAAAAATACCCCACCTGAAACAAAAAATATCAAAAATACCCCACCTGAAACAAAAATACCCCACCTGAAACAAAAAAATATCAAAAATACCCCACCTGAAACAAAAAATATCAATAGCAGGGGGACATCCCACCTAAAATAAAAATTATTAATGGCAAAGGGAGATTTTGGGGTGAAACCCCCAGATTTGGTGATACTGAGCACCCTGAGTGTGGGATTTGTGTGTCTGGGGGTTTCCTGCAGGGGATTTTGGCTCAAAACCCCCGGATTTGGTGGCACTGAGCACCCTGAGTGCAGGATTTGTGTGGGGGGCAGATTTTGGGATGAAATCCCCGGATTTGGTGTCACTGAGCACCCCTGAGTGTGGGATTTGTGTTTGGGAGGTTTTTGCAGGGAATTTTAGTTCAAACCCCCCGGATTTGGTTCTGCTGAGCACCCTGAGTGTGGGATTTGTGTGTTTGGGAGGTTTTTGCAGGGAATTCTAGTTCAAAACCCCCCAGATTTGGTTCTGCTGAGCACCCTGAGTGTGGGATTTGTGTGTTTGGGTGTTTTTTACAGAAGATCTCATTTCCAAACCCCCAGATTTGGTGGCACTGAGCCCCCTGAGCTCAGGATTTGTGTGTTTGGGGGTTTCCTGCAGGGAATTTTCATTTCCAACCCCCAGATTTGGTTCTGCTGAGCACCCTGAATGTGGGATTTGAGTGTTTGGGAGGTTTTTACAGAAGATCTCATTTCCAAACCCCCATTTTGATGCCACTGAGCACCCTGAATGTGGGATTTGTGTGTTTGGGGGTTTCCTGCAGGGAATTTTCATTTCCAAACCCCCGTTTTGATGCCACTGAGCACCCCTGAGTCAGGATTTGTGTGTTTGGGGGTTTCCTGCAGGGAATTTTCATTTCCAAACCCCCGTTTTGATGCCACTGAGCCCCCTGAATGTGGGATTTGAGTGTTTGGGGGTTTCCTGCAGGGAATTTTCATTTCCAAAGCCCCGTTTTGATGCCACTGAGCCCCCTGAGCGCAGGATTTGTGTGTTTGGGGGTTTCCTGCAGGGAATTTTCATTTCCAAAGCCCCGTTTTGATGCCACTGAGCACCCCTGAGTCAGGATTTGTGTGTTTGGGGGTTTACTGCAGGGAATTTTCATTTTCAAACCCCCGTTTTGATGCCACTGAGCACCCCTGAGTCAGGATTTGTGTGTTTGGGGGTTTACTGCAGGGAATTTTCATTTTCAAACCCCCGTTTTGATGCCACTGAGCCCCCTGAGCGCAGGATTTGTGTTCGCAGGTGGTCTGAGCGCAATCACCGCGAGAAGATCGGGGTCCATGTCCTCTTTGAGCAGGTATTAAACATGGAACCTTACTGCTGCAGGGACTCTCTGCCCTCCCTTGCCACCGAGACCTGTGTCTATGACCTCTCGGCTGTGGTGATGCATCACGGCAAGGGGTTTGGCTCAGGACACTACACAGCCTATTGCTACAACACGGAGGGAGGTGCGTGAGGCAAACCCCTCCCAACCCTCTCCCCTTCCTCAGCATTCCCTGGCTTTCCCCTCCTTTGCAATTCCACTTCCTTGGGATCCACTCCTTGCCCTTCAGTAGTTTGTTTTTCCCCGTTGCATTCCTATTTTTTTTTAATTTGTTTTGTTTTGTTTTGTTTTTTTTTTGTTTTTCTCTTGGGAATGGTGGGAATTCTTCATTCTGCCACAGTTGCTGCAGCTGGGTTTGCTCAGGATCCTGGGGATTGAGGAGATGAACAGAAAGTGTTTTGAGGCTGGAAAAACAGGAACTATTCATGAGCAACATCCGCAGGGGGCTGGGAGATCCCAGCAGCTGGATCAGCACGGGCTCTGCCTTCCTGGCTGCACAAATTGGGAATTTTTGGCTGCATAGTTGAGCTTTTGGGCTGGTGAAATGATGATTTGATATTTCTAAAGCACCCCAAAAAATTATATTTTAAAAACTATATTTAAAATTCTATGTTAAAATTATATTAAAATGATATATTTTAAATTATATTAAAAACTATATTTTACATTTATATACAATTATATTTAAATATATTTAAACAATGATATTAAAATTCTATTTATATAAAAATTATATTTAAAATGATGTTAAAACCATTTTCCAGCTTAGAGAAAAAGACAGAGGTGCCTTTTCTCCTGTGGATGTTTCCTGTGAGCAGTTCCAAAATCCAGAGGGCTCCTGCCTCAGCTGTGAGGTTTTTTTTCCCTTTTTTCCCAGGTTTTTGGGTGCACTGCAATGACTCCAAACTGAATGTATGTAGCGTGGAGGAGGTGTGCAAGACCCAGGCCTACATCCTCTTCTACACTCAGAGAACGCTGCAGGACAAAGCAGGGATCCCAGAAAAACAACTCCAAACTCAGGTGTTTGCCACCCAAAACCAGTGACAAGGACACAAAAGTGACATTCCCACGAGGGGAAACACTCCCAGCTGCTTCGGGGAACGTGGGGGATTCATCATCCCCTGGTCTGTGGGGAAACTGCAGGGATGGGGCAGGGATGGGATCAGGGATCAGGGATAGGATCAGGGATGGGATCAGGGATGGGGCAGGGATCAGGGATGGGGCAGGGATCAGGGATGGGATCAGGGATGGGATCAGGGCAGGGATGGGGCAGGGATCAGGGATCAGAGATGGGACCATGGCAGGGATGGGATCAGAGCTGGAATGGGAAAAGAGCAGGGATGGGATCAGCTGGGATGGGGCAGGGATGGGGCAGGGATCAGGGATGGGGCAGGGATCAGGGATGGGATCAGGGCAGGGATGGGATCAGGGATCAGGGATGGGACCATGGCAGGGATGGGATCAGAGCTGGAATGGGAAAAGAGCAGGGATGGGATCAGAGCTGGAATGGGAAAAGAGCAGGGATGGGATCAGCTGGGATGGGATCAGGGATTAGGGCAGGGATGGGATCAGGGATCAGGGATGGGATCAGGGATGGGATGGGATCAGATCAGAGCTGGAATGGGATGAGAGCACAAGGCAGGAATGGGATCAGGGCAGGAATGGGATCAGAGCAAGATGTTTGGAAGACCTCCTGGAGGAGCTGGGCAGTTCAGAATTTGGGCAGAACCTTGGGTTTTGAGTGTCTTTTTGGCTCCAAAAAGAAAAGAAACGATGAAGTTTGATGCTGTTCATTCATCCCCTGTCAAAGAGGAATGAAACAGGAGAATCCCCCTGGATCAACACCCCTCAATCCCTAAAAATCCTGCTCCATCTCCAGGAGAACAGGTACAGCACCCCTGAGTGGCCTGGAGCATCCCAGAGCTGCTCCTGCTGGAAAAACATTGGAATTCTCCTCAATTCCTCCCTCTGCTGCCCCTGGAACTCCAATTTCTGTGCCACATTCTGGGGTTTTTTCTGGCCTGAACTCAACTGGCAGCTGAATTCCCTCAAAAATGGGATTTTCATGGAGTTCTGCTGTGGAGAAAATGGGGGTTAACCCCCAAAAATGGGTTTTAGCACACAAAAAAATGTGTTTAGCCCCCCAAAATGGGTTTTAATCTCCATCATTGTGTTTTAACACACAAAAAATGGAGTTTAACCCTCAAAAATGTGTTTTACACCCAAAAAAAAACCCCAGGAATGTCCCTGAGTGCCACATCTGGCAGGCAAACCAAAGCCTGAGCTTTGCTGGATTGGGAAGGATTTCCAAAAGCTGTGGCAGCAGAAGTTGGAATTGGGGGGAAATTCCCCTTTTTTTGTACAAACGTGGCTGCTTTTCCTCAGGGGAACGGGCTGGTGGCAATGCCACATCCAGGGGGGGCTCTGTCGCTGATTTTGGGGTGAAAAATGTCATTTATTGGGCTTGGCACAGGCGTGGTGCCACCTTTGGAGGTCTCTGTTCCTGCAGTGCCACCCAAGGGGAGGAATGTGAAATCCCAAATTCCACGTGGAGCTGGAAAAGCTGCAAAAAACAAAAAGTCTGTATCTGAAATCAGCCTGATTTTGGGAATTCTGTGGGGGGGAAAAAAGAGCCTTAGCTGGACTATTTACAGTCACTTCTACAGTTGCACCTCAGGTGTGGATTTTGTCATTTTGGGGCTTGGCTGTTCACATTTCACCTTTTAATCTGAATATTAGACCTGATGTCTGTTAATCTGGGTTATTTTTTTTAAATAATTGAAAATATGAGGTTGGTTTTTAAAAAAAAATACTCAGTTTTCAAGCAGGGAAGTTCTCCAAGTGTTTTTCCTCCTCCCTTTTTGCTCCTTTTGTCTCATCAGATAAACACAGGCTGCCAACCTCTGTTGTTCTGGGGGAAAAGCTCCCAAATCCCATTTTTTTCCTGGGAATTTCAACATCCTGTCCTTGGGCAAAGTAAGCACAGCAAGCAGAAAACTTGGATTGTGTCAGAGAAAAAATTCCCAGTTCCATCCCAGGCTGGATTTCCATCCCAGGCTGGGTTTCAGCTCCATCCCAGGCTGGATTTTCCCTGGATTTCCATCCTAGGCTGGATTTTCCCTGGATTTCCATCCCAGGCTGGATTTTCCCTGGATTTCCATCCCAGGCTGGATTTTCCCTGGATTTCCATCCCAGGCTGGGTTTCAGCTCCATCCTAGGCTGGATTTTCCCTGGATTTCCATCCCAGGCTGGGTTTCAGCTCCATCCCAGGCTGGGTTTTCCCTGGATTTCCATCCCAGGCTGGATTTTCCCTGGATTTCCATCCCAGGCTGGATTTCCCTGGCAGCAGCAGCTGCTGGGTCCCAGGGCTGGGCTCTTCCCTGTGTCTCTCTTGGCTGTGAAACAGAAATCATGTTTTTATGATTTTTTTTTTTTTTTTTAAATTTTTTCTCTTTTTTCACCTTTTTTTTTTAAGCTGAAGTTTTTTTTTAAAAAAAAAAAAAAAAAAAAGAAAGAAAAAAACAAAGAGAAAAAAAGAGAAAGAAATTCCAGTGGGTTGTGTTGTTATTCCATAAAATTTAATAAACATCTGGGGGTGGGGGGTACAGGAGGAAATTCCATGCACATCCTTAAGGAAACAATTCCCAAAGGAATGAGTGAAAGAATGGGAAATCAATTCTTCCTCTCAGCATTTAACCTTTTGTCCTTGTCACTGCTCCAGGCAGGACAGGAGGGACCAGAGCAGCTCCAGGTGGGATCTGAGCAGCTCCAGGTGGGATCTGAGCAGCTCCAGGTGGGATCTGAGCAGCTCCAGGGGGATCTGAGCAGCTCCAGGGGGATCTGAGCAGCTCCACAGCTCCAGTCCTGGGGGGAGGGCGAGCTCTGCTCCCAGCAGCTCCAGCTCCTTCCTGGGACAGGAGTCAGCAGCGTCAGGGAGCTGGTTGTGCTTCCAGATGTGGGTAAAGAGGGGGTTCTGTGGGGTTTGGGGGGCTCCCCTGCTCTGTGTCACCTCAGGGGGTGACAGCTCTGTCCTGAGGGGCAGGCTGAGTCTGGGGGCTTTGTTCAGCCTCGGGGGGCTGCAGCTCCAAACTGCTGAGCAGGGACAGCAGCCAGGGAAGGGCTGGATTTGGGAGACTGAGGGTGGATTTTGGGAAAGCTTCCTCCCCCAGAGGGTGCTGGCACTGCCCAGGCTCCCCAGGGAATGGGCACGGCCCCGAGGCTGCCAGAGCTCCCAGAGTGGGATTTTGGGATCTCAGGGATGCCCAGGTGGGATTCTGGGATCTCAGGGACGCCCAGCTGGAATTTTGAGATCTCAGGGACACCCAGGTGGGATTTTGGGATCTCAGGGACACCCAGGTGGGATTTTGGGATCTCAGGGACGCCCAGGTGGGATTTTGGGATCTCAGGGACGCCCAGGTGGGATTTTGGGATCTCAGGGATGCCCAGGTGGGATTCTGGGATCTCAGGGATGCCCAGGTGGGATTCTGGGACCTCAGGGACACCCAGATGGCATTCTAAGATCTCAGGGACGCCCAGGTGGGATTTTAGGGTGACTTTGCAGGGCAGGGGATGGGTTTGATCCCTGTGGGTCCCTCCCAGCTCAGGATATTCCCGATCCCGCCCCCTCGGTCCCTCCCGCACGGACCGGAGCTACGGGACGGGCTGCGGGGCCATCAGGTCGATGTCGGTCAGGTTCCGGGCCACCCACACCCCGGCGGCAAACAGCCCCAGGTTCAGCAGCAGGTTCCTGCAATCACAAAACCCCACAAGCACTCAGCTTGGAAAAGATTTTGGGAAAGTTCATCCGAGTCCAGGCTGTGCCCGATCCCCACCCTGAGCCCTGAGTGCCACCTGCAGGGATGGGCATTCCAAACCCCCCTGGGCAGCCTCTTCCAGCCCTTTCCAGGAGGAAATTCCTGCTGATGTCCAACCTGAGCCTCCCCAGCCCAGCCTGAGGCCATTCCCTCTCCTCCTGTCCCTGTTCCCTGGGATGAGATCCCAAATCCCCCCCGGCTGTCCTCTCCTGGCAGGGAGTTGTGCAGAGCCACAAATTCCCCCTGAGCCTCCTTTGCTCCAGGCTGAGCCCCTTCCCAGCTCCCTCAGGACTCTCCAAACCCTTCCCAGCTCCCTCAAGACTCTCCAAACCCTTCCCAGCTCCCTCAGGACTCTCCAGGCCCTTCCCCAGCTCCGCTCCCTCCCCTGGACCCGCTCCGGCCCCAAAATGTCCTCCCTGAGGCGAGGAGGCCGAACCGGACGCAGGGCCCGAGGGACAATGGCTGCTCTGCTCCTGAGGCAGGCCGGGACGGACACCGGGCTCCCGATCCCGACCCCTACTCCGGGCCCGGCCTCGACCTCTACCCCGACCCCATCCCTGGCCCCGCTCCCGGTGCCGACCTGCGGAAGTCGTTGCGGTCGGTGGCGAAGCGGAAGGCGCTCCGCAGCCAGGCGCGGACGCCCCGCGGCGGGGCCGCCGCCGCTCCCCCGCTCCCGCTCCGGCCGCCGCCATTGCTGCCGCCCGCCCGCGCCGCGCGACGGCCGCACTCCCGCGCGTGACGTCACCGGCGCGGCGTGACGTAGCCACCGGCGCGCGGGGCGGGATCGGGAACTGGAACTGGATCGGGAATGGGAACGGGAGCGGCAATGGGAACAGGATCGGGAACGGGAATGGGATCGGGAGAGGGAATGGGAACGGGATCGGGATCGGGATTGGGATTGGCGTCATCCATCCATCCATCCATCCATCCATCCATCACCCATCCATCCATCCATCCATCCCTCATCCATCATCCATCCATCCCTCCATCCTCCATCCATCATCCATCCATCCATCCATCCATCCATCATCCATCCATCCATCATCCATCCATCCATCCATCCACATCCATCCATCATCCATCATCCATCATCCATCCATCCATCATCCATCCGTCCATCCATCCATCCATCCATCCCTCCATCCCTCCGTCCATCCATCCATCCATCCATCCCTCCATCCCTCCGTCCATCCATCCATCCATCCATCCCTCCATCCCTCCGTCCATCCATCCATCCATCCATCCCTCCATCCCTCCGTCCATCCATCCATCCATCCATCCCTCCATCCCTCCGTCCATCCATCCATCCATCCATCCCTCCATCCCTCCGTCCATCCATCCATCCATCCTGCAGCCTCATCTGTCCCTGCTGCTGGATTTTCTCCCCAAATCCCACTAACTGATCCACCCAGGCACCAAACTGATTCATGGCAATTAGGGACTCATTAAGGGAGCAGCTGGAGATCCAGGCGTTACCCACCCGGCGGGAGCAGCCAGATCCCGAGGGCTGCCCGGGCCCCACACTGTTAGGAATGAGAAGCTTGACGAGGCCAATATTCAAGCAGCAATCAATTTATTAATTAATCTGGTCAAGTGTGAGCAATGAGCGCTGGGCACAGCGGGGGAAGTTTTCCCTCCAGCTGCACCCCGATAGCTGGGGCTCACAGGTATTTGTGGGGTACTCGTGAGCTTTCTCAGCAGTTTCTGTTCCCAATTTTTACTCATCAGCAGTTTCTAGTCCCAGTTTTTACGTCACAATTCTACACACTATTGTGAGTTAGTTTCTCTCAGGATGTATCCCAGAAAGTATCCCCAGACGGTGGGATCCAGCTCCCGAAAGAAGAAAGAAGTCTCCCAGCTGCTGGTGAGGTCCAGATTCCAGATGTGGGTTCACCTTTTAATTGGGAGGACTATAAATCTCACAGCAGTGATGTCTGCTTCCCTTGGTGGAAACTATCAATCCTTGAGCTGATGTTCATCTTCCTTTCTCAAGCTGCTTTTCACTGTTTCGTTAAGGCATCAAGATAAGCATGTTTCCTTTTTATATATTCTAAAGCTATAGAATTTTTATACATTCTTTTTATAAATCCTTTTTATATATTCTAAGGGTATAGTTTCAAAGATCCTTACTACAAGCAATATTCTAAAATTATACTTCAAAAGGTTATTTTTGCAAAATTCTTTAAGGCTTAGCTAGAAGCAGAAAGTTCCTGTCCAACAGCAACATCCTTAAAGCTTTAATTCGAATGCTCCAAAATCAACTTAAGACTGACAAAGGTTAATTGCAAACGAAGGAAAGGTTCAAAGGCCTTCTTCCATGCTTTGCTTCCTCAGTTATTTATTAGAATTGTCTTTACAGCTGTGCCATGTTTCCACACGTGCACAATCACAGATCCACACCTTGCCTGTGTGTACCTGACAGCAGCGTGGCGTTTCACAGCGCCCTGCCTGGGGTCTGGCAGCGTTTAACTCCGCCTGCCTTTGGGTTCCCCCGTTCACCCCTTTGCTTTGCTGGCATTTGGGATGGGGGAGGTCACCCCAGGCTGCCTTTTCTCCTTTCCTTTATGAACATTTGGGATCAGGGAGTTCACCCAGGCTCCCTTTTCTCCTTTCCTCTATCAACATTTGGGATGGGGGAGTTCACCCAGGCTCCCTTTTCTCCCCTCTTTATTAACATTTGGGATCAGCCAGTTCACTCCAAGCTCCCTTTTCTCCCCTCTATCAACCTTTGGGATCGGGGAGTTCCCTCCAGGTTCCCTTTTCTCCCCTGCTTTATGAACATTTGGGATCACCCACGTTCCCTTTTCTCCCCTCTTTATCAACATTTGGGATCGGGGAGTTCACTCCAGGTTCCCTTTTCTCCCCTCCTTTATGAACATTTGGGATCAGTGAGGCTGGAGTTCACTCCAGGCTCCCTTTTCTCCCCTCTTTATCAACCTTTGGGATCGGGGAGGCTCCCTTTTCTCCCCTACTTTATGAACATTTGGGATCAGTGAGGCTGCCTTTTCTCCCCTCTTTATTAACATTTGGGATCGGGGAGTTCACTCCAAGCTCCCTTTTCTCTCCTCATTCATCAACATTTGGGATCACCCAGGCTCCCTCTTCTGTCCTCATTTATCAACCTTTGGGATCGGGGAGTTCACCCAGGCTCCCTTTTCTCCCCTCATTTATCAACATTCGGGATCAGCGAGCTGAGCGGAGCCTCCCTCCCCTCCCGATCGCCTCCCACCTTCCTGGAAGGTCGGGCTCGTGTATTCCCAGCTCCCTGAGGATGCCGGAATCCGCGTGGCCGGCCCGACCAGTTCCGACCAGTTCCGACCAGTTCGTTATCAGCGCGTCCCAGGCAAACCCCCCGCGGCAGCCGGGGATGTTCCGGGCCGGGGGAAGGTGATAAATCCTCGGGGGCAGGGCGGGATGGCCGTGCCTGGAGCGCCGTTCCCGGCGGGAATGCCGGGGGATAAGGGGGAGGAGGGGCTGGGGGCGCCGGGCTGCCTCGGGAGGGGATGAACTGGGGGGGCAGCGGGTTTGGGAGACCCTCCGAGCCGCGTCCCCGCTGGCCCGTGGTGGGGCTGCGGTTGTCATAAGTAGCAATAGGTTTGTTCATTAATTAAATCAATAGCTAAATAATTATACGATATAAAACAGTACTTAAATAGCTAAAAACTTCTTGTGCAGGTACACACGGTGGCTGGTTTACTACGGTGCTTTGGGAATTCCATTGTAAAGGTATGCCTTATGAAAGGAAAGTAATGAAAAGCAGATGTAATAGCAATCCTTAAACTCGCAAGAATTGCTTAGCTTGCAGAAAGCCTACAGTGTTCTGATATGCCTTACAGGGCATAAGTTAAAAAAGAAAAAAAAAGTTGAAAAAAAAGTTCACCCAGCGTTCACAATGAGGAAGACTAAGGGAAGACTAAGCCTTCATCCCACGACCACCAGAAGGCGGAAAAAGACCTCCTAGCAACTGAAGGAGCAAGCGCAGAAGACAGATCACGTCATCCCTAAACCCGGAGAAAAGGCAATAAAAGGTGGACTCAGGGCACAGGAATTTTGCGAGCCAAAGCGGAGCGGAGACTCCGGGCGGCCCGGCGCTGTCCTCGCTTATTCTTGCTTGCAAAAATAATAAAGATAATTACATGATCCTTAAATTCAGTCACCTTGTTTATCACACGGTGCCAGGAGGTGACAGACGGACAGACGGACACGCTGGGAGGTGACAGCAGGGTCACCCGGCATGGCAGCAGAGGTGGGTGCCGAGCAGCCCTGTCCTGGCTCTCCAAACCCTCCCGCCCTTCCCTCCTCGACTCTGCTCCAGCCGCGGGAATGGGGGGCCCGCTCCCCGAAATATCCCGGGGGAGCAGCCCGGGGACCGGGGGGTTGGTGCTGGAGCTGGGGGGGTTCGTGTCCTGAGGGACCCCAGGATCCCCTTTTCCATGGATATTCCATGCCTGGGGGTGCAGGACCCCCTCTTCCATGGATATTCCATGCCTGGGGGAAACGAGGATCCTCTCTTCCATGGATATTCCATGCCTGGGGGACACGGGGATCCCCTCTTCCATGGATATTCCATGCCTGGGGGACACGGGGATCCCCTCTTCCATGGATATTCCATGCCTGGGGGACACGGGGATCCCCTCTTCCATGGATATTCCATGCCTGGGGGACACGGGGATCCCCTCTTCCATGGATATTCCATGCCTGGGGGACACGGGGATCCCCTCTTCCATGGATATTCCATGCCTGGGGGACACGGGGATCCCCTCTTCCATGGATATTCCATGCCCTGGGGGTGCAGGGACCCCCCTTCAGGGTGACCCCCGCTGCCCATGGGGTGCAGTTTGCGGCTCTTTGCTCCCACCCCGCTGACGGATCCGCGATTCCCGGAGGAATTCGGATCCCCAGGGATCAGGGAAGCGGCGCTCCCGCCGCTCCCGGGGGCGGAATGGGAAGAGGAAGGGAAACTCCCGGGGGAGGGACGGGAGCTCCGGAGAGCCCCGGGAGAGCTCCGGAGGGATCGGATCCGCCGGATATTGGTGTGGAACCAACCGGGCTGCGGGGCGGGAGGGCTGGGGTGCAACATTGGGGTGCGGGAGTGCAGGATTGGGGTGCAAAGGTGCAAAATGACGTTTGGGGTGCCGGGCGCAGGTAGAGGGGCGCAGGATTGGGGTGCAGGGAAGCAGGACTTCCCTGCACCCCAATAGAAGGGGTAGGGAAGGATTGGGATTCAGGGAAGCAGGATTGGGGTGCAGGATTGGGATTCAGGGAAGCAGGAATGGGGTGCAGGGAAGGATTGGGATTCAGGGAAGCAGGATTGGGGTGCAGGATTGGGATTCAGGGAAGCAGGAATGGGGTGCAGGGAAGGATTGGGATTCAGGATTGGGATTTAGGGGTGCAGGGCTCTCCAGCCCCTCCGTGCCCCAGTGCTGCTTTGCAGGACCTGAGGCTGACACCCCCGCAATTTAGGGACAAAAATGGGGTTTCAGGCTGGCGGCGGGGGGGACTCGTCCCCGCGTCCCCACACCGGGATCCCTTGGGGACATCACGGGGTGACCCGCGGGGCTGGCCATGACACGTGGCAGGGACAAAAGGGGCAAGGCAGGCAAAGTGGCTGCCGAGGCATTGCCAGTCCCGTGTCACCCCCAGGGGACAGCGAGCGGGTCTCGGTGTCCCCAGCTGCGCCGTGTCCTCGCTGGTGCCCATGGCAGTGGCCCCGGGGTTGTCCCCGGGGCTGGCAGCACCCCGGGTGGCACCTGGCTGGCAGCGTCCCCAAGCCGGCAGTGACGTCCTGTGGGACGTGCTGAGCCAGCCTCTCCCTCGCAGCGGATCCCGCAGCTCCGGGGGCCGGAGCGGCCCTCGGGAAGGATGTTCCCCGCGCCGGGATGCAGGAGGGGCTTCCCCAGGGAGGTACGCCAGGCTCGGGGGCTCCTGGGGCTCTCTTGGGGCTCTCCTGGGGTTCTGGATCTCTCCTGGAGCTCTCCTGGGCTGTCCTGGATCTCTCCTGGATCTCTCCCAGGCTCTCCTGGATCTCTCCTGGAGTCTCTTGGGACTCTCTTGGGACTCTCTTGGGACTCTCCTGGATCTCTCCTGGACTCTATTGGGACTCTCCTGGATCTCTCCTGGGCTCTCTTGGGACTCTCCTGGATCTCTCCTGGATCTCTCCCAGGCTCTCCTGGATCTCTCCTGGACTCTCTTGGGACTCTCTTGGGACTCCTGGGGTTCTGGATCTCTCCCGGGGCTCTCCCGGTGCAGGGTGGGAGCCCAGCAGCGCCCCGGGGTCACCGTGGGCACCCGCTCCTCCATCTCCATCCCTGGGGATGCTGAGGATGCAGGAGAACATCGCGGTTTGGGGAAGAATCCGGGACCACCTGGGCTCCCCCAGCGCAGCCCGGTGGGCTCCTGGCTCCCCATCCCTGCCGGGACGAGGCTGCTCGGGGGTCTCACGGCTCTGATCTCTCCACAGCCCGCCCCGTGGTGGGATGGGCCATGGCCCCGTCCCCCTGCCGGCCCCGAGGACACCTGGGACGAGCCACCCTGGGACGAGCCACCCTGGGATGGGCCACCGTGTGATGGACCACCCCAGGATGGGCCACCCTGGAATGAGCCACCCTCGGATGGGCCACCCCGGGATGGGCCACCCTGGGAGCACCAGCCCAGGAGATGGCGGCGCAGGAGGCACCCGGTAAGGGACAGGGCCGGGGGGAGATGTCCCCAGGGATCGTCAGAGTTTGTCAGGGAGACCCTCCCAAGTCACAGCAAGGAGCCCCTGGGTTCCCCAAACCCCATCCCCAAAACTGGTCTGGACACGTCTGGATCCACTCGTGGTCCCCCAGGCTCAGACAGGAGTTTGTGGCTTTTTAAATTCCCAAAAGGAGTCTGGAAATGTCAGGGTCCAGCTGTTTGTGTCCACAGCTTCCTCCCCACCAGGATTAAGAATGGCAAAACAAATACATTTAAACAGGTTAAATAGATAATTTATTTCCATGGATGATTGGAGTAAAGGATCTCCATGAGTGCAGTGGGGATGGTGCTGTGAATGAGGCCCTGTATGTCCAATTTAATAAGCCACAAAATTAGAACTTAGCAGCAGTTTTAATTGAGCAGCAATTCTATATAAAATGAATACAATTCAGTAAGCATGTAAGAAGTAAATTTGGCAGTGATTTCAAGGCTGATTCCTTAATTATCCCAAGGCCTATTCCATTTTGGGATGTTACTTATCTCAAACTACATTCTGTATCCTATTTTCTCATGAACCACTGAAAACATCTGTTTTTTGACACTAATTACATATCTTTTTCCTCTATTACTTTTTAACAAATATTTTCTAAAATATCAATATACAATATAATTGTCAGCACGAATCACATTCATTTATCACAATGGTTGTACCAGGGCACTGCTAATTAAATCAATAGTTTCAAAGTTAATTAGCAATTACAGCTTGGATTGACGTTGCTCACCCAGACCCACACAAATGTCTTTGGCTCACTCCAGGAGTGACCCTGAAGAGCTCCAGAAAGGAATCCACACTCACTCCTGGGAGGGCCGTGCTGGAAATTCCCCTGTTCAGAAGTGGGATTAAGCCTTTACAGCATGGAGTGAGAGATGTTGGGGGTTTTGTGGAGCATTTGTCCTTAAAAAAAGCAAATTGCTGCCCTCTGGTTCCTCCCAGGAAACATCTGCCCCTGTTCCCTGGCAGTGCCAGCTGCTCTCGGGGTTTCACATCCTCGTGGGGTTTCGTTTTGGGATGTTTGAGTCAGGCTGCTCTCAGCCTGATCCCCCCTCCACTGCTGCTGATTTTCACAGCGAGGTGAGATCTGAGCTGGCTCACCCCAATTGCATCCTGCTGTGAAGAGGGATTCACCCACAAATCCAGGGCAGCCCGAAGCAGGAGAGGCACAAAGAGCCGAGGGTCACAGTGGGGAGGGGGAGCAGCGAGAAATCCCAAAAATCCCAGCGGGCTGTGTCCTCACCGTCCTGTTCCCATTGCAGCCCAGTCCCAGAGCCCCCAGACCCTTCCCTGGCCCTGGGGACGCCCCGTGGAAGGAGGAGGAGGAGGACAGGAGGTGGGCACCCCGTGACTGTCCCCAGCCACCCCCCTGGGACGACAGGGAGCCCATCCCAGGCCCTGAGGATGACTTTGGAGAGTGCTGGTACCAGGTGAGGCGTGCTGGGCTGGGCGTGGTGGCAGCCACAGGAGCCAGTGGCTAGAACGGGGCAGGGGCCACTCACTGCCCTGGTGACAAGGGGACCCTGTGGGGACCCTGTGCAGTCACAGCATGAGGGGTCATTCCCTAAAGCCAGCCTTTCCCTGCAGGATCCACCGCCTGACCCCTGGCCCGAATACCCCGAGGAGGAGAAGCCCCCGCCCTGGCCCCCCGCCCGCCCTGCAGGGTGGGTGCCATACCCGGGGGGGACCCTGTGGGGTGACAATGAGTGACACCAGCGCCGCTGCAAGCTGTCCCTGCCTAGGCTGGGATTGCACAGAGACCCCTCCCCAACCCAACCCCCCGCCCTGGGGCTGTGCTCCTGCAGGAATTTGGGGACATTCCGTGAGCACCGCCCGCCCTGGAGCCACCGCCCGGCTGCCAGACCGCGGGGCCACCTCCGCCAGCTGATCCTGGTGCCCCGGGCGTGGTGTCCCCGACCCCCCCGAGGTGTGTGCTGCCCCCGTGCCGGCTCCTCGGTGCTCTCCTGCCTCTCCCAGGCCAGGCTGAGGAGTCTCTGCCGCTGTTTCCCACCCTGCAGGGCACAAGCCACACTCCAAGCCCTCCTGTCCTGCCCCTTCCAAGAGGAGCCAGCCCGAGGCCAGGAAGGAGCCGCAGCCCCCGGAGCCCCCCCAGCCCCCTGCTCCTCCCCAAGGTGCTGCAGAGAGGCTGGAACAGCCACAGGTGAGGGGTTTTACCTGTTCCCCCCCATCCCACAGCAGGAGTGTGCTCACCTGAGCCTTGCACGCTGTCCTGGTTTCCTGCAGGATGTGCCACTGAGGACTGGGGGTGTCCTGGAGCCCCCCAGCCTGGCCAGGAGCCCTCTGGAGAGCCCAGCTGCTGATCCTGGTGCTGCAGAGCCACTGGTAGGAGATTCCCCTGTCCAGGGGTGCTCCCAGCTCTGGATCTGCCTGGCTCAGGGGTCTCCTTGGCTGCTGGGACATCTCCCTGCTCTCTGATCCAGCCCTTCCCCTCTGCACCTCGCTGTCTCTTTGCCAGGCATGGAGTTTTTCCAGGCTTTTCTCTGTGGTTTCCTGTGGGTTTCAGCGCCCTGTCCATCCCATCCCATCCCATCCCATCTCCCATCCCATCCCATCCCATCAATCCCATCCCATCCCATCCCACACGTGTCCTCACGCCGTTGCCTGTCCCCAGGTGGAGCTGGAAGCTGGGCAGACCCCGGTGGGCAGCCAGGATCCCTGTGCTCCAGGAGCAGACCCAGCCCCTCCAGAGGAGACCTCCAGGAATCCTGAGATCCAGGAGCGCCTTGAGGTATGGGACTGCTGGGAAGGGGCACAGGGTCAGCTCCAGGCTCCCCAAATCCGCCCCACCAGCAGCACACTGCTTCCCCTGGGGATGTTTTCTGCTCCCACCCTAAAGCAGAGCCTGCAGGGAGGCACAGCCCCCTCCTCAAACCCTTTGTCCCCTCACTGTGGACTCCACAGTGTGAGGAACTAATCCCACTCCTCTGAAATCTGGAGAGTTTAATAAGAGGTAATAAATAAGGCACTAATCAGTAAAGCAGAAGTGACAGTGCTGGGTGCCTGGCTGTAGCCAGAGGCACACACACTGTTCAGCAGGCACTTTGTGCACTGCAGTTGCATGACTTCCTCAAATTTCTTGGCTCATTCTCAGGGCAAGCTGGCCACAGCTTCTCCCTGGATTGAATTGGGGTCCAGCAGTGCTGAATCCACTGCTGCAGGGTCTGAGGGTCCATCCAGGCACTCCAGGGTGCTCCTCTGGTGGTCTCCTGATGCCACTTTAGAGCTGGCATTCTCTTTTTATGGTATTTTGTTCTCTGCTTGTGCTATCTTGGTTATATATTTTGCAAGAGGGGTTATCTCTTGTCACAACCTTGCTTTGTGCACATTTCAGTTACACAGCCCACAAAAGTGGTTACAAATTTGTCTTCTGTCTAAAAGCAGTTGCAATTTATAAACAATTACCCTTTATAATAATAATTTGCCAATTTGCAGTGAAAGCCAAGTTCACCCAGCTGTTGATAACACACAGGTGGAGCCGTGCAGCCCCGGTGTCCCCAGGGCTGGCAGCACTCAGGGCTCACATCCCCAGAGCCCAGCAGACCCTGCCAAGAGGGAACTCCTGGACTCCAGCTCCTCTGGAGAGGCAGGGGCTGAGCTCAGCCCGCATTCCTGGGAGCAGCTGCCCCGTGGAGCTGGGGAAACTGAGGCAGAAGGCGCCCAGGATGGGGTGAGTTTGGGACGTGGGGCAGCTCCGTGTCCCCACCCTGTGAGGCCAGTGGGGCTGTGCTGCCAGCTCTGTCCCCCTGTCCCAGCACAGCCACTCTCTGTCCTCAGCCTCTGCAGAGCCTTCAGCCTCCTGAAAACCCTCAGCTTCCTCCAGAATCTGCAGCAGAACCCGAGGCCCAGCCCAGCCAGGCTTCACCAGAGAGCTCCCCGGGGCCCCAGCCTGGGGCTGGTGAGACAAATCTGGTACGGGGTCTGGGTGTCCCCCAGGCACCCCAGTGTCCCCCTGGGCTTGGGGACACTGCCACAGCCAGAGGGGGATCCCTGTGCCTGCAGGATCTGGGGTTCAAGGGCAGCTTTGTGAGGAGGCAGAGCCCGTGTCGGCCGCGCTGCCGTGCGATAATCGGGACACGGCTGGGAACAAAGCCAGGGAAGGAACGCGGGGCTCGGGAGTGCTGGAGCGTGAACAGCCCTGGAACGGAGCTCTGAGGAAGCCGAGGAGAACACTCCAGAGCAGCTTAATTACTGCTAACGAGGGAGAGAAGTTGGGGCAGAGAGGGAGCGGGGGTAGCTCTAGCGCCCAAGGGATGGGTGACAAACCAGTGGCTCCTTCCACAGGGTGACCAGTCCCAGGCTGGTGACCAGCACTGGCAGCCCCAGTTTGGCTCAGTCCCTTTCTCCTCTGAGCCTTCCTTGCCTTTTCCACCTCCCAGGCTGTGTCTGGCCAGCAGCAGCTCTGCTCAGTGCTCCCCACACCCTGCCCGGCCGGCATCGATCCCCGCTCCGCCGCCGTCCTCAGGAGGAAGGCAAAGATCGAGCTGGTGAGACCTGGCAGCCCTGGATGGACACCTGGGGTCTGGGAGCAGCTCCAGGATGGGGAATCTCACCTGGGGAGCTTTGGGAGCGATGCTGGGTGGTGGAGGGGTGTGAATTTGGCGTTTTGGGGGGCTTGCAGGGGGAGGTGCTGTAGGTTTGCAGGGGCTCGGATGATGTTTGGGGGTTTGTGGACTAAAAGCAGGGGTGGCTTGGTGCTGGTTTTGGGGCGCTGACCCCGTGGCCCTCCCCTGCAGTCGTACCAGCAGTTCAGCCTGAGCATCGCCGTGGTGGCCACGATGCTGCTGCAGAAGGAGCCCTCGATGGAGGCGGCGCTGGGGCTGGCGCTCAGGGCCAACCTGCGCCAGTGCCGCCTGCACCACCTGCAGCAGCTGGAGGAGTTCATCGACAGCCTGGACTCGGGCACCCCCGGCCTCTGATGGCAGCCACCCCCTCCTGCCAGCGGGCTGGGGGTGATGGGGGCTGTGACAGCGCTGTGACAGCGCTGTGGGGTGCTCAGGAGGGGGCTGAGCCTGCGGGACAAGGTGGGAGACGCTGGCAGCCCCACTGTGTCTCTTGGACAAGGAGGGTGAGTAGGGTATGTTTGGTTTTAGCCCTGCCCAAACCCCTGAGGGCAGCAAAAGTGTTACTGGTTTTACTGGAGGGAGGGCAGCAGTCCCTCTCCTCCATTGCTGATTGCCAGGGATGTGTCCCCAAACCCCAGCGAGTGTTTGGGTTTAAATCTACAAATAAACCGTGTCCTCTTTGCAGCCCTTGCTCTGTTCCCACTCTCCTGGGGCTGCAAGGGAGCGGTCCCACAGTGAACCCCGGCTGTGGCAGAGGGCACAGGTCACCCCTGGGATCCTCCCAGCCCTGGTGACAGTGTCACAATGGGCTGGGAAGGAACAGGGCAGACCCTGCGTTCAGATTTCAGCCAGACTTTATTGGAGCTTCGTCACCGGCGGCAGCAGAGCTGTGCCCCAGTCCCCTCCCCGTGGTGGCAGCAGGACACGGTGCCACCAGGGATGGAGAGCAGGTGGCACTGGGGCACAGAGCAGTCCAGGGAAGGATCCCAGGTGGTCCCCAGCAGTGGGGGGATGCAGGCAGCTGCCCTTGTCTGGAGCTCAGCCACTCTCCGAGGCCGGCCCGGCCCTGCTCCCATCCTGCTTTACCTGTTCCTAATCACGGGAGAGGCTGGCAGGAACTTCAGGCTCTGCTCTGCCAGCAGCTGCCGGGGGCAAGGATCCCAGCAGCTTCTCCCACCAGCCTTGGGCCACCTCCAGGATGTGCTTGGAACGTGTTGGGGCCGTGGCAGGACCTGGCAGTGCCACTCGGGGACCCCAGACCCGCTGTTAGGACACGCTGCAGTGCTTGGCCGTCCTGCCCCTGCCCCTCCCCGGGGGCTCCCTGCCCAGGGAATTCATCCCGGGCTTGGGGATGGGCTTCCCGAAAAAGAAACCCTCCTCCTCCGAGTCTGAGTCCGAAGATGAGGAGCAGGTGGGACACCAGGAGTCATCCTCCTCCGTGCCATCCTCTGCCCGGGGGCTGTGTCGGGGAGGGGGGGTGCCCGCTTGGAACTGTGGATTTCCATTGCCTGCAGCTCTCCGGGGTTCAGGGGCCCCCAAAAGCGGGTGGCCCAAGGCTCTGGGCTCGTTGGGCCGCTCTGGGCCAGGCTGGGGGGCCGAGGGGAGGCCGGCTGGGGGTGCCAGCATCCCTGGGTGCTCCTTGGCAGCGTCGCTGCTCTGCTCCCGTGTGGCTGCTCCGAGATCCTCGGGGCTCCTGAAGGCGGGGTGCACTGGGGCCTGGTCGGAAAACGCCTCTGGAAGAGGGGAAGTGGGAGTAAGGGAGGAAGGAGAAGCTGAGCCTGCCCTCCCACAGCCCTCCCACAGCAAGGGCTGTCTCGGGACACAACGGGGTGGCACCCACCCACCGCCAGCTCCCACCGTGGGGAGTTTATCACCTATTCCCACGGTATGACATTCCCAAAAAAGTCCCCAGAGCCTGGATTTGCTCCCCTCACACTCCATGGCAGCAGGATCCTACCAGCCCCAAAATCCCTAGATTTTCCCCTCTCCCCTCCCACCCCATGGCAGCAGGATCCTATCAGCCCTAAAATCCCTGGATTTTCTCCCTCTCCCATCCCACCCCGTAGCAGCAGGATCCTACCAGCCCCAAAGTCCCCAGAGCCTGGATTTGCTCCTGCTCCCCTCCCACATCAGGGCAGCAGGATCCTATCAGCCCCCAAGTCCCCAGAACCTGGATTTGCTCCTGCTCCCCTCCCACATCAGGGCAGCAGGATCCTATCAGCCCCCAAGTCCCCAGAACCTGGATTTGCTCCTGCTCCCCTCCCACATCAGGGCAGCAGGATCCTATCAGCCCCCAAGTCCCCAGAACCTGGATTTGCTCCTGCTCCCCTCCCACATCAGGGCAGCAGGATCCTATCAGCCCCCAAGTCCCCAGAACCTGGATTTGCTCCTGCTCCCCTCCCACATCAGGGCAGCAGGATCCTATCAGCCCCCAAGTCCCCAGAACCTGGATTTGCTCCTGCTCCCCTCCCACATCAGGGCAGCAGGATCCTATCAGCCCCCAAGTCCCCAGAACCTGGATTTGCTCCTGCTCCCCTCCCACATCAGGGCAGCAGGATCCTATCAGCCCCCAAGTCCCCAGAACCTGGATTTGCTCCTGCTCCCCTCCCACATCAGGGCAGCAGGATCCTACCAGCCCCAAAGGCCCCAGAGCCTGGATTTGCTCCCCTCCCACCCCATGCCAGCAGGATCCTACCAGCCCCAAAGTCCCTAGATTTTCCCCTCTCCCCTCCCACCCCATGGCAGCAGGATCCTATCAGCCCCAAAGTCCCCAGAGCCTGGATTTGCTCCTGCTCCCCTCCCACATCATGGCAGCAGGATCCTACCAGCCCCAAAATCCCTGGATTTTCTCCCACCCATGGCAGCAGGATCCTACCAGCCCCAAAATCCCTGGATTTTCTCCCCTCCCACCCCATCCAGCAGCATCCTACCATCCCCTTCCCCGCGCTGCCTGCAGCCCCCCGCTGCCGAGCTCCTGCCGGCCGCTCCGGCTCGGGGCAGGGGCGTGGAGTCGGGGGAAGGAGCGGAGGCGAAAGCCGAGTCGGAGGAGTCGGAGGCGGTGGAAGAGGCGTCCTGGCCGCGGCTGCAGGTGTCGGAGCAGAAGAGGCGGCCGCGGCGGCAGGTGAGGGGCTGTCCCCGCAGCGGTGCCCGGCACAGGCTGCAGCAGAAGCAGGCGGCTCGGGCGTGCCAGTGCAGCCCTTGGTGCGTGACCTCCTCGCTGTCAGCACCTGCGGGGCGGCCACAGGTGAGGGAAAGGCTCTTCAAAACCAAAAAAAAACCCCAAAACCCAAAAAAAAACCGCCCAAAAAAACCAAAAACCCAAATAAACCACCAAAAAACCAATAAAAACCACCAAAAACCAATTAAAAAAAAAGCCAAAATCCATGCTGGAAGGGTCTGGGAGCCCCGCGGGTTGGCGGCCATACCGATGGGGTCCCCGCACGCCTGGCAGGGCTCGGCAAAGAGGCTCTCGAAGCAGCCCCGGCAGCAGGGCCGGCCGCTGCGCATCACGTAGCGCTGCCCGCGCAGGGGCTCGTCGCACTCCAGGCAGCAGAAGTGCTCCAGGTGCCAGCGCCGGCCCTCGGCCTCGATGCACTCCTCCATGAAGATCAGCTGCAATGGGGAAAAGAAGTGCCAGACTCTCAGCACGCCGCGGTGCTTTGCTGTGCTGGGCGGCGAGGAGGAGCCCCCAGCCCGTGGGGGGGTCTCAGGAGGGAATGTTCCTCCAGCCCAGCAGTGGTTTTGATGGATTTGGAGCCCCCAGCCGAGCTCGGGGGTGTTTAACAGCCAAAGGGAGGTCAAAGGCTCCCCCTGCCCGGCACCCACCTGGTCGCAGGAGGCACAGCGGGGTCGGAAGAGCTCGGCGTGGTGCCGGCCGCAGTAGATCCTCCCATCCTGCTGGAAGTAGATGAGATCCACCAGCTGCTGGTGGCAGAAGTGGCAGGAGAAGCAGGACGGGTGCCAGAACTGGTCCCCCAGGCGAGACGCTGAAATCCCCGGGTCCCCTTTGTTCAGCCTCCGGCCGCACTGCAAGGCAGGGGGACACGAGGTTTGGGGCAGGGCTGGCTTTTGGGGACGGATCCCTGCCAGGGAACGGGTGCTGGAGGGGACAGCTCACCTTCCTGCAGGGACAGCCGTGGCAGGGACCCGGCACGGGACACGCCAGGCCCTGTCCCAGAGCCTCCTGTCTGCGGCGGGCGCTGAAGGCGCGGAGCTGGCGCCGCTCCTCCTCGGCCAGGCCGGGGCAGTACCGCTCCTGTGGGGCACGGGGGTCAGGGGCTGGCCTCTGAGCCTTAGGATTTTGGGTTTTTATCTTTTTATCTTTTCCATACATTTATAATCCTGTAAGTTTTTAGTGTTTGACTCTAAGCCCCATACGCAGTGTCAGCTGCTGAGTTTTGGGCAGACACAATTCCTCTCCAGGCCTGGGAATCAACAACACCGCCTCAGGCCTGGGTGATGGAAACCAAAGGGAGTTGAGGGAGAAAACTGGGGGTCAATGACTTCATTACCTGAAGCTGTAATTGGAAAATTAACCCCCAATATGCAAATGGCCCAATCTCATAAAAGTGTGAAAACCCGTGAGCCGTGGTCCATTTTTGGGTGGGCTCCATCTGCCCTAAATGCACCTGAAGGCCCTTCAATAAATAAACAAAACTGCTTTTTATCCCCTTAATTTGGTCCGGCCTGTGTTTTTAGGCAGTCTCCACATGAGGAGAGCCTGGGGAGGGGAGCAGCACCAGAGGAGGGGTCTCACATCGCAGTCCTGAGGCGGCAGCTGCTGCAGGAGCGCTCTGGCGCGGAGCCGGCCCCGCTCTGAGGGAGAGCCCGGCGGGGCCGAGCGGGGCCCGAAGCACGGCGGGACCTGGGGACAAACAGCCATTTCAGCGGGGGATTAAACCGTGTTTGCGGCGCTAAAAATGTGCATTTAGCCCCAGAAACGGGGAGCTGCGGTGTGGGCAGCACGCGGGGCTGGGGGAGAGCGGGGTGCTGCCCACCTCGGGGGGCTCCAGGTACTCTTCCAGGGCACAGCCGGAGTCGCTGTCGGACGAGGCCGGGGGGAGACCCCCGGTGGTGCCGCAGGGGGAGGGCTCGTCCCGCTGGGGCCATGCAGGGCTCGGCAGGGACATCAGCTGGGGACAGAGAGACACAGGGGTCAGACACGGGGAAAGGAGCAGGGATCCAGCCCTGGACACGGATCCTGTGTCCCGGTGGCAGCAGGACAAGCAGCTCCTCGTCCCTTGCAGGGACACTGGGGCACATCCAGCTGGGATGATGCTCCAAGGCACCAGGACCTCGAGATCTTGGGCTGAACACTGCGGGAATCCAAGGGATTTTTTGGGGGGCTCCCCTTTGGAGGTTACAGCAAATCCACACCGAGGATAAGGGCAGCTGGCAGGGCTGGGGCTTGGAGCGGGATGGGATGGGATGGGATGGGGATGAAGCCAGGCAGGAAAGAAGCTCAAACTGGAACAGGTTTTGGAAAACAGCAACACCCACAGCAGGAGCTTTCCCCCCCTGCCACGGCTAATCCCGGGTCCAGTGGCCCATCCCTGAGTGGGAACAGTCCGAGGTTGAGCCCAATTCAGTGAAAAAT